GTTTTGTTAAATTTATCAACTGATTTAGTAATCCTAGCTCTTTCATTGCTTTGAACATTTCTCTTCTATTCACAAAATCGTAAGCTACTTTATACTTTATAAATCTGTGATAAGTATCAATGCCATATCTCAGTGTTTTTCCTAAAATTTGTTTGAGGGTTGCAATCTGATGAATTGTCGATTTACCACCTCTGAACCTGGTATTTTCCTACTTACCGTTCTGCATATGATGCCATACGGTGACATACTACTGTGAAAAATATTTTATTCGCTGCATTGAGAAGCGTAATTCCTCTGTGGTTATAGCATTCAAAGATATCTCTTTTTTATGTATAGTGCAAAGTATTCCAATCATAGGGAAGGGATTTCTGTATCCATATATCTTTTATAAGCTGCTGTAATGTCATTATGGTATCATGGTCACCTACTTTATATAGTTTAGCTGGGAGATTATCTATTGTCTACGGGTAATTTGTTTCTGGCTAGTTTTTTAACTGCATCTTTAACTTCAAGAATCGTTGGTGGTTCCTCTTTTCTCTCGCCTGTTCCCCTTACGTCGTCTGTTTAGTCTCACAGGTTTTCTATTTCTTCCTCTATATTAAGTGCCTGGTAAAAGTATTCCACCCATATATTCCATACATCTTTCATTGTTGTTAATAGGTCGCCATTCTGACTTCTGCATTGTGTTGTAGTTGTTGAATTCTTTTCTGTTGATGTTAACTTCCTTATATAATGCTCTGAATTATTTCTCTCTGTTGAGATTTTCTATAGATTTAAGTTCCTTATTTAGGTGGTTTCGTATTTTTCTTTTATGTATCCTCTTTTCTTCTCTTTGTCTGGTAATTCTCTAGTTGTTCTAGTCTGTCTTTCTTTTTGTATTCTTTATTTTTTTCTTTTGTTGCATTCTTGCGTTTATTATCAAACCATATAGGTTATAGAATATTTTAATAACTATATAACTATTTTAAATTGGGCATGATTTTTTTTCTTTATATTTTCTTATCACATAAAGTTGAAAAGCCCATTCCCCTTTATCCTTGCCGTTTCTGTCTCAATAACTTCCAATACGACTTCTTCAGACTAAGCGTTAAATAATCGGCGTCGTAATATATTTGTGACTCCCACATGACTTCTTTATTTCACATTCAATTTTTACGACTCTTCGTTGATTATAGGACAAATTCGGTATATTTTAAGTCCCTCTTTTTTGGTCTGAGAATTTCTATCAGTTTGGATAGAGAGGGAGCTTTTTTGTAGCCTATGGGGCAGGCGTTAAGGTCTTAATTAATATATAATCACTTTTTAATAAGGAAAACGGGGACCAGGAAGGTGAAAAATCTACGTACTTGGTTCAATACAATAACCACAAATCTTTTCAGAGCAGAAAAATACAGGTTGCCATGATGGTCACCAATAGCCGAACCGGATACTGTCACGGAAGCCCAATCGCATATCACTAATATCTAGTTGCGTTGAGTATATCCTTTTGTACTTAATTCTTAATTAGAATGTATAACTTAAACAAAGGTGCTCAGTAGTCGTTTCATTAATACACTCAGCTATATAATAAAAGGGTTGCATTTGGAGTTTTTTTATTCATGTTGGACGGAGGATCTAAAATAAACAATACATTGGCTTACATCGTTTATTTCTCCTAGTCACTACAATCACTGATTCACTCTAACGGGAAGATGACATACCTACTTATTTGATACAGAATCTCCATGCTTAACACAAATTCAAATTATTTCTTATTAACTCATACTAACTTGTATTACTTACTTACTTTACTTACTCCGTGGCGTTACAACCCTTCGTGGGTTTTAGCCGAGTCGACAATATGCCTCCACTGTTTTCTGTCTTGAGCAACCTCCATCCAATTCTCCACGCCCATAGTGCTTAGGTCTCCTGCTATATTATCTCGCCACCGGAGACGAGGGCGTCCGCGTGGTCTCCTTCCAGTTGGGACTTCCTCCCACACCAGTCTTACTGTTCGTTCGTCAGAATGTCTTCTGAGGTGTCCTGCCCATTGGAGTCTTCTGGACTTTATTTCTTTTATGATGTTGGCGTCTGGGTAAAGTTCTTCAAGCTCTTTATTAGTTCTTATCCTATATTGTCCTGATGCTTCATCAAGCACTGGACCAAAGATCTTCCTTAGGATTTTTCTTTCCCAAACACGTAATCTCTCTTCATTTGCCTTTGTTATCGTCCACGTTTCGCTTCCATACATCACAACGGGTCGTATGATTGTTTTATAGACCTGTATCTTCGTATGTCGTGTTAGTTGTTTTGATTTTATAAGGTTTTGGAGGGCAAAAATACATCTGTTGCCGGCCTGAATCCTGTTGTTTATTTCTTGTGATCCGTTATTGTCTTCAGTTATTGTTGTTTCAAGATACTTGAATTCTCTAACGCGCTCAAAGTTAAAGTCATCGATGGTAATGTTCTGACCGATTCTGTCTCTGCTTTGGTTATTGCAGCTCATATACATATATTTCGTCTTGTTTTCGTTGATTTGGAGCCCCATCTTCCCTGTTTCCTTCTCAAACCTTACGAAAGTCTCCTTCATCCTTAATCGCGTGTTTCCTATTAGATCTATATCGTCTGCAAATGCCAATAGTAAGTTTGGTCCTTCTCGATGAAATACTGTATTCGGTTTTTCGATTCTTGCACTTCTGATTATGTGCTCCAGAGCTAAGTTGAAGAGTTGTGGTGAAAGTGCATCTTCCTGATTTAGTCCATTGTTTATTTCAAATGTCTCCGAGTATTGTTGTCCAACTCTCACCTTACATCGTAACCGTTCCATACACATCCGTATCAACCGGACTAGTTTTTTTGGAAAGCCAAGTTCCTGCATCGCTGTCCACAGTCTGTCCCTACATACTCTATCAAATGCTTGTTTAAAATCTATGAACATCTGATGAAGCTCACGATCAAACTCCCAGCATTTTTCCATTATCTGTTTTATTGTGAATATCTGGTCAATTGTAGAGCGGCCCGGTCTAAATCCGCATTGATAATCTCCAACGATTTCTTCTGTGTATGTTTTGGTTCTTTCTAGCAGGATGTTTGCAAGGATTTTGTAGGTGGTGTTTAGGAGTGTTATTCCCTGTAGTTAATACATTGCTTTTTGTTTCCTTTTTTGTGTATTGGTACAATAACCCCTTCTTTCCATTCATCTGGCATTGTTTCTTCTTGCCAAATGTCTTGAATTAGCTTGTATATCGAACTGTACAACGCTTCTCCTCCATGTTTTAAGCACTCTGCGGGTATACCATCGCTACCTGGTGTCTTATTATTTTTGAGTTTTTTAATTGCCTGTATTACTTCTTCGTATGTCGGGTATTGGTCTTCTATTTCAGCTGTATGTAAGCTAGTTTGATGTACTTCTGCTAGATTGGTCATTCAATAGTTGATAGAAGTATTCCTTCCAGGTTTTTAAGATTTCCTTGTCATCAGTGATAAGCTGTCCACTGTCGTTTTAAAGAAAGTTTCCTGTTATTGCTTGGTACCCGGTCTTGATATCTGAAACTCCTTTAAAGAACTGCCTCGCTTGTTTGTTCTTTCTTTTTTCTTCTATATCTCTGATTATTTGTTCCCGATACTCTCTCTTCTTCCTTTTCATTAGTTTTCTTGTCTCTGTTCTTCTTTGTCTATACATTTCATTGTTGTTGTGCGAGGGGTTTTGTAGCATGTTCCTTCTAGCCATATTTCTTGCTAATATGGAGTTCAGGCAATCATCATCGAACCATTTTTTTGTTGTTTTCTTTTTGTGTCCTAGTATTTTATCTGATACGCTTGTCAGAGCTACTTTGATATTTTTCCAAGCTGAGTCTATGTTGTTATAGTCTTCTGTCTGTGCTAGAGCGATTTTTATAGCCTTTTGAAATTTCTGTTCTGTCTCCTTATTACGTAGAACTTCGGTATTCCATAATTGTGTTGGTGTATTCTTGTGTGTTTTTTTGGACACTATTCTTGTCCTTATCTTCGCTTTTACAAGAAAATGATCCGTGTCTCCATCAGCTCCTCTTAGGCTTCTTACGTCTAGACAGTTACTATCCCTCTTGGCATCCACTAGAACATGATCGATCTGATTTCTTGTGACGCCGTCGTTGGAGACCCATGTTTGTTTGTGTATATTCTTGTGTTCAAACATTGTCGACTTTATTAGTAGATTGTGGGATGCTGCAAAGTCTATTAGCCTTGTTCCATTATCGTTGCTGACATCATGAAGACTATGGTTACCTATTGTTGGTTTGTACGCTGCTTCCTCACAATCTTTGCATTGAAATCTCCTAAGATAATATGCATGTCCTGTTTAGGTAAATTATTTATCAGTTCCTCTAGTTTCTCGTAGAAGTTATCTTTTACATGCTCTTCCTTTTCCTCTGTCGGTGCATGGGCAGCAACTAGGGAATAGTTATGTAGTTGTCCTTTGATTCTGATATAACAAAGTCTTTCATTAACGGGTTTGAAAGTTAAAACTGACCTCGCAAGACTTTCCCTGACTATAAAACCAGTTCCGAATTGATGTTCTCGTTCGCTTCCGCTGAAAAATACTACTGATTTATTAGTTTTTAGTGTACCTTCTCCAGTCCATCTAATCTCTTGTAAAGCAGTTATGTCCACTAACTAACTTGTATTAACTATGCATAACTATGACTTATTATGATTAACCAAAATTAACCCCATTCTCTTGTCTGCCCTTAGAATTATATTATTAATAAAATTATTTAATTACTAATCGTGATTCCACAAGGTTATTAGCGTACAAAGTCTAAATCTCTGATTTTAGTAGTTTAAATATATCCCAATATAATTATACCAAACTGCTTTATTAATGTTGGGTGCTGCTCAAAGAGTTATTTTTCTTCGTTTTGACTGTTCAAATGATACGTTTCGTTTTTTTCTTTAATTTTGTAGACCAGTTTTTGCAGTAAAGTTTTCTTTATTATTGTAAAATTATTCATCAAATTTTAACTTACAACTTTACATTTCAGTTAAATTGTCAAGAACAGGAAGTATCCAGTCAAAATGAAAAGATTGTCGAATTGGAAGAAAAATTCAAAATTATAGAGAATAATCTTCATAATATGGAATCAAATTTCAAGAATAAACAAGAAGAATTAGAGGCAGTTCAAGAGTAAGAGACTATTTTACATATTTATTGTAAGCGGTGGCGCGATTAAAATTGTGATTGAAAATTGGCCAATAATTAAAAGTTAAGACATGTTGTACTTGTAGCAGAGAATCAACGTGATCTGTATATACTTCCACATCAATTTAATCTAACAGCAAGAAAATTCAATATGATAATATCTGTGTATACTATATCTGATTTCTTAAATTGTTCCTAGTCGTACTACTATCGGTCTTGCTATACATCTTTCATTGACATACAAGTCACCGGGATTTCGGCATATCTGCTATATAAGCTCTCCGCCAATAAAAGCATGTTCGTTTATTTGGCAAAGGTTATTCCCAGATCTCTAGTATCAAGGCCAAATCGAACATTCCATATTTGCTTTACTATGCTAAAATTTCGTCTGTAGGATCCTGATTGATGTCATCGAGACTTATTTGAGTCAGATCCAATTTTTATTTATAGACTAAAAAACACTTCTTTTTAAGTCCCCTTCTAGGCTATATTTTTTTTCTCTGTGTTCATGTTGTTCCTACAAGTTCGGTCGAAATGCTGCCGTGCATGGCAGCACGCCTATGCCGTGCTAAGGATATCATGTCTTAAATTCTTCAGCTTTATGGGGTATCACTGAGGTAACAATTTTCTCCCTGTGCTATGCAACCCATGGTCACGATGGTCTTTCAACTCGGTATTGGGAAAGCGAAGTATAGTCGCTGTAACATAATATGTAGAACGCTTTAAATACGACGACGTTTGATCTCTTCTTTTTTACAACTGGTCGGATGCCGTCTTAGTAAGATAAGCATTTCAGTTGGGAAACAGTTCGGGAAGGTGTATATGTATGTGCCTATGTGTACTTCATGTTTATGTGTGGGAATGAGGGTGTCAATTTCAAACAACAATTCTAAAGTCAATGAAATAACTGCTGTAACTGCATAAAGAAAAAAAATATACCCAATTTAAAATAAGTATGTAGTTAGTAAAATTCTTCTAAATACTATGTCAAGTCTCAGTTCATCGTCGCATGTTTATTTGCTTTTATCTTAGTACCTTTTTCACATCTGTGTTACTCCCCTATATACCTATAGGACCTTTCAAAATACTGAAGTTCCCTTTAGTATTTTAAAATTTGTTTTAATAGTCTAAGAATGTCAAGTTTTAACGTACATTAGCAATTGTTGTTAAAGATGATGCAAAAAACTGTTCACAAATAGGAAACAAACAATATTCTTTGTAAAATGCATTATGTATATCTTTTAACCACAAAATGTTATGATAAAATATATTGCAATTCTATTTAACATAATTCCTTTGAAATCGTCATATTTGTGGTACTATTTGACAATATTAGTATTTCAAAATATTGCTCAACATTAACTTTATATTTTTTTCTTAGACAATTCCAATTGGAAGTAAAACTAAATGATACCTTAAAAGATAATATGACAAGTTTAGAGAATACAAAAATTGAATTAGAGCGCCGTGTTAAAACTTTGGAAAACGAATTGATGGTATATATAGATGGTATAGAAAATCTAGAAGACGAAAATATTACGATAAAGGAAAATCTTGCCGAGGTAAATCTTATACTATGTCGTTTACTACAAAACACTATATTTTGAAAATAGTTTATCCAAATATGATTAATTGTGTGTTGATTTTCTCGGTAGAATGGATGAAATGAGGTTCTGATCACAGCTTGTTCCATCCATTTTTGAACATATGTCGCACTTTTCCACTGGTCTCTATCTTGTACTGCTGTTATCATCTCGTTAAAGTCTTGATCTTCTCCAGTGCTGTATAGAAATGCGGAAATAGCAGAGCTTGTCCTTGTCGTAATCGCACATGTGTTTGGAGAGAAAATTCTTTGGGAAAATCGCCTTTTACTTCCACTGTGCAGACCACTTTCCTCATTATTTTTCCCTTTCTTCTTCGCTTTTAAGACTTTGTTGGAGATGTCTGGTTCATTCATGGTTTCATATAGTTTATATTTTAATAAGTTGACTTGAAATCCACAAAAGGGCAACAAACGTCAATATTAAATTCGTTGGTTTTTTCTAATATTTATATAGCGCAATCTGGTCTATTGTACACCTATCCAGTTTAAAGCCAGTCTTTGGTATTTTAAAAGCAGTATTTCCACGTATGCACTTAGGTGACTGTACAATTAGTTGTATCAAGTATTGCCAGACAATGTAATAACCTTTTTTAGTTTCTTTATACCCTTACCTTATCGAAATATACTATATCTAGTATATGCACCTTCCGACAAATCTCATACTTATCCCGAAACCGAGTAAGGAATTAGAGGAGCCTGGGGCGTACAGACCTTTATGCCTGTTAAATACCTTAGGTAAGGCCTTGTGAAAGGCCGAGATTCTTTTGAAGACAAGCCTGGAGAGGGAGATAACGGAAAAAAGTGACACATCCCACCTCCAGTATGGGTTTAGGAAAGGAAAATCTGCTGTAGATGCCATAATCATGATAAAGAGGAGATATGTAGGAGCAGACGGATGGTGGATTTCTCTCTTGATATAAAAAATGCTTTAATAGTGCTAGCTGAAAATTATCATCAGACTACTGGGCGCCTTGGAGATATCTCCCTATCTGTAGAACGTGGTCAAGAATTACTTCATGGATAGGTGCATCAATATTGCGAGGGGTAACTCTATGAGGACCAGGGCGGGAGTGCCACAGGACTCCGTCCTGGGGCTATTGCTTTAGAATGTTCTTTACAACGAGATATTTGGAGACCGGCCTGGGTATTGGTGTACAGGCAATAGCAGTGGTGCACAACGAAAATTGATCATGCATACAGCAGAACCGAGCTCTCAATACAGTGAAGACGTGGATGGGAAGCAGATACCTCATGCTGGCAGCTGAGAAGACTAAAGTTATAATCCTCAACGGTCCGTATTGTTCTTGCACTGGAGGGAGAAAAACCTGTCAAAAAAGTGAAGTACTTGGGGTAGTCCTAGATACGGGGCGAACCTTTGGTAAGCACGTCGTTACGTCGTTCGAAAAGCAGAGGAGAAAACTTAGACGCTGATAAGCATAATGCCCAACGTGGGAGGATCAGGGACTGCTAAAAGGAGAGTTTTAATGGAATGTGTCCACTCTACTATGCTCTATGAGGCATCGAAATATAGAAGAATGCTGAAGAAAACCTCAGAAAAGTACCGCTAAGGGTAGCATACAGAACATCAACGGTGACCATACAAGTGGTCGCAGGGATGTTACCCATCCACCTGATAGCGAAGGAAGGGCGGAAACCTATCGGAAAAATGAGCAGGAGAAAATAGTAGCTAGGAATAGCAGCATAACGTAGTGGCAGGAAGAATGGACAAACGAGTAGAGGGCGACGTCGACGAGGGTATTAATTCCAAATATTGCAGACTGGATGAAATTCATTCAAATTCATTCAATCAATTCAAGTAGAGACACTAATTACTTTTTCCCCAGTTCCTAACATGACACGGCTTTTTCAGGGCCAGAAATAATAGGGAAGGTAACGGATGGAAACTGCGCAGAATGTGGAGTGTCTAGTACGGCCGAGCACTGTGTATGAGAGTCAAAATTTTCAATGACGACAGAAATAAATTACACAAGAAGGTAGGTAGGCTAAGCGCAAATATAATAATGCAGATAGTAATGAGGGGAATCACTAAATACAAGGCAATTCTGGAGGCAGTAACCTAATTCTTCAGAAAGAAGGAAATACTAGGGAGGAATCTGCAGCTAAGTTAAGAGAGATGAGAGAGAGAGAGAGAGAGGAGAGAGAGAGAGAGAGAGAGAGAGAGAGAGAGAGAGAGAGGGGGAGAAAACAAAAGGCGGGCTATTCATGTGATGTACCGGTCTGAAGAGGACCTACTGCATGAGTAGTCCGGTTGAGGCGGTAGACTTAAGTTGGTACTTTCACCCTAAATCCAGCACACGCCAGAGCATCCTTAACGGTCTAGTACGGTCTTTAAAAGATTTACCACCTCCTTCCCATAAAAAAAGTATATGCACCTTCTAAAATATATTTATCAACAACACGCTTAAAAATTGATCATTTCTGTCTCTTACATCATTATCCTTGTCATTATTCCTATGTGGAGTCTGCATCAATCTTGGACCATTCCAATAACAATCTCCTTTATAGATATGTCGAGTCTCAGGGTCTTCCAAGTCCAGTCTTCTTTGGTCTTCCTCTCCTAATAAGTGTACAAACTTCCAATTCAGCAATTCTTCGTATTGTGTGATTATCATTTCGACGGCGGACATACCCTAATCATCTTAACCTATCGTCTTTTATTTTGGCATTAATTAATCTCACCCTAAACTTCCCCTAATAGATCCATTCTTAATTCTCTTGCCACTCTGCTCATATATCCGAGATGAGCAGAAATAATAATCTACATCATTAAGGTCTTCTTGTTCTTCTTTTATGTAGACATGACTCTATTTTAGAACATGCCTCCAGTAAGTAACCGTCTCTTGCCGTCTTTACTACTGTATTTGTTGTCATTCGACTTATATGATCATCCCATTCTACTCTTCTATTTCTTACCCAGTTATTGATGTTCTCCACCTTGCATCTACATCGCATACCTGTACTTCTAGCTCTATTCCATAATGTTTTACCATCGATTTTTCCAAGTGTTTTCATCTCTGCTGTTTCTAACATCCTTTTTGTCCTCACTGTATCAGGTCTTGTTTCTGCTGCGTATGTCATTATTGGTCTGATGACTGTTTTGTAAATTCTGCCTTTCGTTTCTTTCCCGATATTTTTATTTCTCTATATTGCTGTTTTCTCTATTCACTTGATCTTCCACTTCAGTTTCGAACTTTCCGTAGCTAGATAATATGATGTTTAGATATTTAAACTCCGTCACTTGTTCTATTATCTGACCATCCAGCTTTAATTTACTTCTTAGTAAATTTTCTGGTGTATCATTTTTTAGTTCATTTTTTTTATTATTTCATCCATAATCAGGTTGAACAATAGGGGACTTAGGGAATCTTCCTGTTCTTATTCCATTGTCAACTTTAATAGGGTCAAAACAAATGACGGTATTATATTTTGATTTGATACAGAGCAGCAACAAGCCGCATATACGTATTTCGATCTCTTTAGATCTCCTCAGTACGGTATAGTTACTACTCCATATCAAACCAAAATATTTTTCCGTCGTAGATCATAGTTATTAAAAATAACTATTTACGGACGTAACTACGCCATCTAAGAACAAAAAGAGAAATCACATGATTTCTACCTGGCGAAATCGAATTCAAATATAGGCCGCCGTGCTCCCTAAGACTTGCGAAGCAAACAGCTTGATGAATGCATCGGCAAGGGAGTCTAAAAATTGCACTCCAAATGCCGTCCATCATGGCCTATATTCGTAGTGAATTCGATTTCTGGTACTCCAAATGAAGTAAATAAACAAAACAAATGACGGTATTATATTTTGATTGGATACAGAGCAGCAACAAGCCGCATATACGTATTTCGATCTCTTTAGATCTCCTCAGTACGGTATAGTTACTACTCCATATCCAATACTCCATACTCCATTTGGCATATTTCTCTTTTTGTTCTTAGATGGCGTAGTTACGTCCGTAAATAGTTATTTTTAATAACTATGATCTACGACGGAAAAATATTTTGGTTTGATATGGAGTAGTAACTATACCGTACTGAGGAGATCTAAAGAGATCGAAATACGTATATGCGGCTTGTTGCTGCTCTGTATCCAATCAAAATATAATACCGTCATTTGTTTTGTTTATTTACTTCATTTGGAGTACCAGAAATCGAATTCACTACGAATATAGGCCATGATGGACGGCATTTGGAGTGCAATTTTTAGACTCCCTTGCCGATGCATTCATCAAGCTGTTTGCTTCGCAAGTCTTAGGGAGCACGGCGGCCTATATTTGAATTCGATTTCGCCAGGTAGAAATCATGTGATTTCTCTTTTTGTTTTTTTTTTTAATAGGGTCGGTTAGTTCATCTTCTACTTTTACTTTTATTGTATTGATCATTAAGGTAAGAACAATTATTCTGACGTGTAATATCATTTATTTATTTATTTCAATAAGCCTCGTAGTATTCTTGACCAAAGACCATTCTTGACATTATTTTGGTGGTATTTTTTTATACTGTGGTTTAGGTAGTCACTGGGTGTTATTAACATACTTACGATGTTTTACAATTAGGCACATGGTTGTTATGAATTATTTTAGCTAAAATATATGCTGGCTAAAATATAAGGGCCTGAATTAATTTGCGTATCATATTTGCCGCCAGTTTTAATACTTGATTAAATTTTTCCCTTAGAAGATTCTTTCAGCGTTCCATATTCAGAGTCAGACTTCTTTATGTCCTTATTCCGGATACCTGTATATCTGCTTCCACATCGTACATCAAGCATTTTCTGTTGTTTTAATCATTGTCTCTCTATCAGAAATTTTTCTAACGATTTTCGGACTGGGTCTTTACATTTCATCCTTAATAGATCACTCATCCATTTCAATCTCTTGACTTTAATTGTTTTGATAATGTTTTGTTCTCGGTATAGACCTCTCTTGAGTCCTGCCCGTGAAGGGAGTGCCGTAGTCGTCCTGATGATGCTCTTTTGGTCCTTTACACTTTCTACGAATAGATTTATCGAGTTCCCTGCATATATTAGCATTTTTTGTTGTTTGTTCCCACCGTTTATTCATTAAATTAAAAATCTTGTCGGTCATTCAGGGATGATCCGTGTCTAAATTATAAGATTTCAGCATTTTGGGAGACCCAATCTCTTAAGTGCTTGTCTTCATGTTTGAAATATGAGCTAGCTGTAGCTACTGTCATGTTTAAAGTTTACGATCTTTATTCCTTCATAATTACGCTCTTTATATGTATAGCCTATACGGTCCTATGGTGGGTCGGTACACAGGCACTTTTCAGATTTTCGCATTCATATCATGTGTTTTGACGTTTTTGTCTGTGTAACATAAATATTACTGTATATAAAATTTGTAAAACTGCTTTAGGTAACTTTGGAGTTGTTCGAGGAGAAGAAAAAGAAATGGGTTAAAATTACTAAAGAACTAACTTTATTGTCTTTATCTGCTCTACAAAAAATCATCGAAGTAATGTTACCAGTTTATCACAAATATTGAAATTTACAAGCATTGCTCAAAAAAACTTTTTTTATAAGTTAACACCTATTTACTATTTTTATTGTGTATTTTAACAAATAAAGATATATATAGTTTATTTTTTATAATTGGAATATTCATATTTTGTGTTATTTTGATTGATTAGAAATAAGCAAAGATTATTGCGATTAATCATTCGTTAGAAATAGTATATGACTTCCATTTTGAGACTAACTAATAAGTAAAACGTGTTTACATATTTTATACTTTTAATGACAAAAAATGTTGTAATTGTTATTTACAATAATCATAAAAATAAAATTAACAAATTCAATGAATCAAGGATGTTGCATTGAGAAATTAACAAGACTGAGTCATCTATTTTTCTCAGGTGTAAAAAAAATTATTGAGATGTTTATCTGACTGGTAAAAATTCAAGCAAAGAAAATCACCTCATGTGGAAATCAACCACAGAATAATAAACAATCAGAATGTGCACTCTCAGATGCCGCCTTTGAAGTTTTTCAGCACGCGATCGCCATGTTTTAGAAGGAAACGCAGAACACAGACTCGGATTGAGAATCACATTTGGTGTAATGGGTTTTTACCGACATATGATTTCTGAGGTTATATAATTGTTTATATTTATGTTTAATTGTTACCAGATTGTTACTCAAAAAAGTATTAATTTATGTAATATGGTTAAGAACATAATTGAAAGAGGGTCGATTTTTGACGCATACTGTATACTGTTATGTGAAATATTAAAAAAGCTATCTGCGCTTTATTATGGAAATGCATGTCATCGAATGAAAGACAAAGAGCTGGTAAAAAGATTTATAGTCGTGAAATATTGCATTGAATTTATTAAGAAACTATACTGAAAACAAACTTAATCAAATTCTGTTAACTAAATCAATAAATGTATGATGTTTGTGTTAAAGACTCTTTTAATAGTACATTTTTCGATATTTTCGAGTAAAAGCACGATAGTAATTTTCTTATAAATTAATAAAGTTCAGACTTGAACATTTTTGTAAAATTAAAACAAGCAAACACCGTGTTACTTATTAAGTTAGTCCTAATTTGATATTATACCAAAATATTTCACACGGGGAGAAAGTTTAGAAAAAGCAGTTTCAGCCGAAACGAATATTGTTGGGCAGCAGTTGACCGCTTTACTTAAAATTATGACACAACAAAATCATTTTAGGAATTCTGTACTACTCCAGTCGTCAGAGACGAAAATGCTACTTAACCTCTAAAAATCATATGAACAAGCTGAATTTTGGTACTCCAAAAAATATTGAAAAAAGTTTACCAATTCTATCCCTGGCTTTCCCTTAAAATCCCCCGTTCTTAGGGAGGGGGGGGGCGAAGAAATCGAATTACCAAGAATCTGTATGCTACAGAAAAAATGTTTTAGATAAAAAATGTAGCTGAGATAATTTTAAACAAAAATGTTGGTTAGCACTTTTTGTATAGGATAAACCGTTCTCTCAGAAACAATGCTTGAAGCGACTGGCTACTTTAAATGTCAGTTACGCGCTCGAAATCAATTTCAAGTAAAATTTGTATCAACTCGACCATAAAAATTCGATATCTTTTGATCAGAGGTATTCGATATCTTTTAAAGGTGAAGACAGCGTCTTTCGTATGTAGTTTTTAGATTTTGACGCAAATGAAGACATTTTATATAAAAGTTTTAAATAAATAAACCTTCCATTGACCGGTCACTATGGCATTTTCACTGTTGAGCCCAATCTTTAAAACATTTATTATGAAATTTCGGTTTCTGAATTTTGACAATATGAAACTTTGAAATATGACTAAACTTCCTAAATTTAGCATCTTTTTTATGACATATGATTTTTAGAGGTCAAATATCTGACGACTGGACTATACTTCTTTATGTTTAGATATTTACTATTCCCATTTTCATGCTATATTATTTCCCAGACGATTTTGTGAGAACTTTTTAAATCTATACAGTATTGGAAGATTTAAAACGGAACATACGGATTATTAATACAATTAGTAAGATCCCCTGACCTGCAATTACCCAGTGTAAATTTCAATATAACGTCGCGATGTCTTATAATTAATTCATTTGTTCGACTGGATTGCTACTCCTTCGCGATTTCTAGTAGCGTATTCGGCAGGTGTACGTTGACACTGTTGTCTATCGTCCACTGATTTTCTGTGTTTTTGTGCAGATAATAACAATGTTTTATTAATAACAATTTTTTGTGTTCATTAGATATTATTTGAATTGTTTAGTGTATAGTTTAATATATTTATTATTCCAAATATTGTTGATAATTTAAAATTTAAAAGGATGTATATGATGCATCAAAATCTACAGATTTTTGCCGAAGGTATCTACCGATTTGGCAACAGTCCCAAGGAACATCACTGGCCGAGCAAACAAATACATGCCCTTTGCTTTGTGTTTGGTAAGGTGCGCACGTGCGCAGCAGTCGAAAAATATCGACTGGAGAAGGAGTCCAGTCGAACAAATGAATTAATTATAAGACATCGCGACGTTATATTGAAATTTACACTGGGAAATTGCAGGTCAGGGGATCTTAGTAATTTTATTAATAATCCGTATGTTCCGTTTTAAATCTTCCAATACTGTATATTAAAAGGTGACAGATGACAGAATTACTACTTTAAATGTTTTAATAACCAGTGTATTGTTTATTTACTTTCAGTTGCTCACACGTTAAGTCTAAAAATTTTACTATATACACTGAGCGGCAAAAAAAGTGGCCACCGTATAAATTTTAGAAAATAAAAATTTATAGGAAGTTTTATGCATTGTTTCATATTGCATCTCAAATTAAATATTTTTTGCGATCTTGTATACTTGTTTTTGACAGTTTTGATGTTTGTGGTTCCGGTCGTAGAAGAGTTACCTCGCAAAGAGATGATCGTTTTATTGTGATAGAACTTTTAAAAAATCGCCGTTCCACTGCAATTGCTGAAGAAACCGTCTGCAGGAGATTCAAAATGGGAATATAAGTGAAAGAACGGTTAGAAGACGCCTGAGTTAAAGATGGCTAGTGGTAAGAAGGCAGGCTATTGTTCCCGAATTACCACCCAGACACTGTAGGAATCGATTAATTTTTATATATAGGATTGGAGCTGAATTCTCTTTACTGATGAATCGTGGTTCTGGTTGAAGTCTGGCGATTGCCCAGAAAGGGTTTGGAGGCGGAGAAATGAAAGATATGCTTGTATGTCCCAGAGAAGAAAGTTTGGCAGTGGTGGTGTCATGGTTTGGGCTGGAATCTCACTAGAAGGTCGAACTGAACTTATTTTCATCAATAGCCCCTTGGATTCTCACTGGTATATAGATGATGTTTTGACAGAAGCAGTAGTTTCATTTGGTTCTTTTATTGGGGATAACTTCGTCTTTATGCATGATAATGCACGGCCGCATACTGCAAGAATCCTGAAATATTACTTGGGGAAAGTTGGAATTTAGACTCTAGAACGGCCAGCCTGCAGCCCCGATCTGAATATCATCAAATATCTTTGGAATGAACTTCATCGTAGTCGACCAGGCCAACCAAACAGTCTTGCAGTACTTTAAAACATGTTTCGTGAAGAATATGAACGTATTCCTTTTGTTTCCTTAAGTTTGTATTAAAAATTTGTTTCTTTCTCTTCCAAATCGTATGCAAACGGTTATTGGTAATTAAGGGCATAATACCCGATATTAGACAATTTTGTTTAAGTTCAATCGTAATTTTTATTGTTTCTAATTTGTTTCGATATTAGACTATTTTCTTTTGTAGTCTTCTAATTAAATAAATTATGCTAAGAAATCAAACAGTAATGGCAATTTTTTGTTTTAAAAATAAAAGATGTTAAGAATACAATATAAAACAGTACATAAAACTTTTAATGAATTTTTTTTTGCAAATTTATAGGATGGCCACTTTTTTTGCCGGTCAGTGTAGATAGCTAGATAGCATGTCAGATATCAATAATAAAATCTATAAGCCAGCAATTTACCATTTTATCAGCTGCTGCTCAAAATAATCATTTAGTCTGTATGTGCCCTAAGCTTACAGATTGTCTGTTATTTTTTTTATTTGGCATTAAAAAAAAGGGATATAAAAGAATATAAATGTAAAACCAAATGAATGCATGCTGAACACCTACTTAATAATTTTAAAAATAAACGTGCCATCTTTATTTTCTACAATCACTCTGTAAATGGTAGGTTTTGAATAGTAAATGACAATGAATAGTTGAATTTTACTAAGGGCTGCTACTTCTTTATAGCGCCTTAGAATCAGAAAAGCTTAGGATCTGATGCTTTAAAAGTTTGCACAATAGTTTTTTGCTGGAAATATCAAATACATCATATAAAAAACAATAAACATAGGTAAAAGAAATAATAAATAAGACTTACTCACAATCAGTTTAATTTAACTATCTAGACGACCGGATTCGCTTTCTACAATTTGCAAAGCATCTTCAGGTCTGTCGATACAAAGTTAATTAAATGCTAAAATAATAAAACCCATATTAGGGTGTTATAAAGATAAACAAAAATAAAATAATATAAATTACAGTAATTATGCCAATATTACATGTCTGTGGTTTTTTTTAATATGAATAAACTGTTTAAGCAGACAAAGTAAGACCACAAATTGGTATAATTTATTACAGTTCAATAGACTATTTTATACCAATTTGTGAGTCTTACTTTGTCTGCTCAAACAGTTTATTCATATTAAAAAAAAACACAGACATGTAATATTGGCATAATTACTGTAATTTATATTATTTTATCTTTTGTTTATCTTTATAAGACAACACCCTAATATGAATTTTATTATTTCAGCATTTAATTAACTTTGTATCGACAGACCTGAAGATGCTTTTGATGACCTAAGTGATTGTAAGTCTTAGTTATTATTTCTTTTACCTATTTGAAATGGACTCACACAAGCAACACATTTATGATTTGAACAATAAACATGTTTATATAACGTAATGCTAAGAAAATTTACAAATATTCTGAAAATTTACTTGTTGACTATTTTTCGAAAAAGTTCACTCTTGTCGATTTATTCGGTGTTAAAACCCCATTGTCTACAAATAATGATATTGAAGTCAGTTGAATAAGTTAACTTATATGCATTAAAAAAACAAGGGATTGGATAAAAGGCCTAGAAGTCAAAAATATTTTTAGGTAGCTAAGTATAGATAGCTGAGTTTTGTGAATATACTAGAGTTTCTTTTATATACACGACAATGCTTTTGCCCATTACCGTCCACTTTACTGGTAAGTACCGAAGGTGACACAATGAAATCTATACGAGAATGAATGAGTTCCACAGTTACCGATGTAGATAATATCAAAGAAAACATTAAAACAACAGAACATCTTATGAGATGCCGTCAAATGTACAGATAAACCAATATGCCAATCACAACGATCAACAGTTTTAGCGAATACTGGTTAATCAACACTTTCAAATTAGGAATTATTTTCAAATCAATAAATTACAGATTTAGTCTAACATTTATTGTAAATAGTTGTAAACAAAGTTGGTTTAAAAATAGGTTAAATTTATTAAGTAATTTTAGACAAAATGTTGTATGTATTACAGCAAAAAGTGACATTATTGATCTCAAGTAATTAGTTGAGTTAATATATTGAATAATATATTACTCATGGCCTTTACCAAAAAACAACATAATATCAAAAACAATTTGTATTCTCCTTTGAATATAATACTTTATGAACCACATATTGACACTGTCAATATTTAAATATACAAAATTTTATTCAATAATTAAACATACAAATAAGAAATAGAAAACAAAAATTTAATGTTATATTAATATAATTATGTTCACAAAAAATTATTTTTGCCTATTTATAATAAATAAGGTTCACGCTAGAAAATATATAGAATGAAGGGATGATCCTTGATGTAATTATTTTAAAATGTATATAAGTTTACAAATCATTATTGCTTTACTCAATAATATATATTTCTAAAATTCCCTTCTTTTTTATCCCCTCTATCAAAAATTATGTTATCAAGGATTTTTGTTTTTCGTTTTACATTCAAAAATTTAACAGTTCATTAATAAATCATATTATAATTCAATGAGTTAAAGATAATTATTAAAAATCTTTAAAATATTTTTTAAAGCTTTGTTTAGTTAAAATTTTTAATTATTTATAGACTTTTTTTAAATTCGCGCAATATATTGTACTAAATATTACAGAATCCAATAATATTACAGAAGGCATTTTCTAATTTTAATTTTTATTAGGTTGTACACTTCAGTTAGCACTAGTATTAAATCCTAACTAATGTGTTTAACCTTAGTTAAAATATAAAGATTATAATAAATAATCAAGTCTAATAAGGACTTGTATGTACGATAGCACATTCGTAGGAAAAAATATAACTATAAAAGAAATGCAATCTGTTGTAGCTGGAATGTAAAGGTAAAATAAAAAAGAACATACATGTACATCTTTCCCCTTATCTGATGAGTATAACGAAAACTATATATCTGTATACACCGTCACAACTCGAAGAAATAAACATTTACCTTTTAATTAAATCTTTCAAATGAGGCACGACAGAGAACATATTTCATATCGGCACCAGAGCTAAATTACTTCGGATATGACACAGGTTCATACTAAAACCGACAGTAGTAACCGACATACACGCCAATAAGTCTGACTTCATTCAAGTTAAACACCATGGAAAAAATCTTGAATGAATACATCAAGAAAAACAATATTAATAAAAACCCACTGCATCAACTGCAATGGGCGTATCAAGAAGGTAAATCAGGTAAAGCCGCCCTGCACAATTTGGTGTCAGAACTCGAAAGGAGTTTACATCTGAAAGAAGTCGCCTTTGCTGCATTTTTAGTCATCGAAGGTGCATTTGATAAAACCTATATCGAATCAATACACAGCGTTCTGATTACGGAAGAAAATTAACAACACAGCATACAAGTGTATTATTCAGATGCTCCGGAGCAGGATAATATACACAGATACATAAGAAGGTGCCATAAACCTGAGGGTCATAAACCTCAAGAGGGCATATCACCAAGGTTATGGAATATAGTGGTTGACATATTGCATAGATTTGATCTCTGAAAGAGAAACTCTCAGTGAATCCTTCTAAAACTAAACTAGTAGCCTTTACTATTAAGAGGAAACTTACTGAACTGGGTGAGCTGAAATGATTTGGGGAGGTACTACAAAGAACCAATGAGGTCAAGTATTTAGGGGTAATCCTGGATTGAAAACTCAATTGGAACTACCATATTAACAATATAAAACCTGGCAGTTGAAACCGATGGTTATACACATCAGTGAATCGATAGTTACATCATTGGTTCATACTTGGTTCAGTACTTTGTGAAGAAAGACTGCTGTGCAATCTTGTATGACCTCTCTCGCCAGCTTACAAAGATAATCGTTTCTAAATACGACAGGAGCATTGAATAGTACGGGAACAGCATTTTTACAGTCTATCACAGGACTCACAGGTAAAAAATACTTGAAGGCCAAATTATATATTGAATATTCATGAAAATATCACTGGGACTAAATTTGAGGAATCAATCTTTGAGATGAATTCAGATATTATGATACCAGAATTAATCTTCACTAAGCATATTAACACACCTATACCATCTAGTAAACAAAAGTCCCAAACATTACTGGGAACTTCATAAGGTTCACTGATGGATCTAAAACTATTCATGGTATTGGATTAGATGTCCCCAAAGACCCAAAGCAAAGAGAATCAACATTTATATAGATAGCCAAGCAGATTTTTTGGCAAAACAAGGCTCGATAGAAACCTTTGTAGGTCCAGAACTATTGTATGGCATAACCAAAGATGCTACAGCTACACGAAACGAGCCTCAGAAGTCGCTGATAAGAAATCATCAAAATAAATGTAGAACCACTAAAGAGTAAATCCAGACAGAAAATATTCATAGAACATAGATAAAAAGTCTTGAAAACATGAATGTTTTTAACCGTTTTATAAGTCGCAAATGCTCAAATAAGTAATCACACCACATGTATTTTAGATGAAAAGTCGAAATTTTCCTCCTTTTGTTCATTAGATTAAATTGGGACTACTTACCTTCAGGTTTCACTGATGATGACCTAATAGGATCGAAAAAATTTTGAAAATTGTAATCCTTCTGGATATTTTGATTATTTTAATAATTTTATAAATATCCCAATTACAATAGAAGTATTTACTTGGAAAATGATGCATATATACGATCTTTTTTATACCCGTAACCATTAAATGCAAGTTTACAAATCCATTTGTGCTATCGTAACGTAATTGTCAATTAATTTACATTAAGTAATGAGGAGCAAATAATACTTGTTCGTATAATATAAAACTAAATAAAAGTTTGACAACTAGACTCTAGGAGTATTTTTGATTTTAGTGATTTTACAGGTCTACGGAGATACTCCACTTTGTGGTATATAAGGTGCAAATTATATAAGAATTCTTGGATTAATTTAAAAAATATAATGAGATTCTGGTTTTGTTTGTTTCTAATTGCTCGTTCAAAATTTGAATCACAATTTTTTATCCTAATTTACTAAATAATAGTGAAACTCCACATTTCATAATATTCTTTAAATTTCATTCATTTTATTTGTTCAAGAGATCAGCTAGAGATCAAAATGAGAAACATTTTCCAGCGAGAAAAACTATTCTGGAATTGACATAATTGGCATAAATAAATAAGTGCTCATATTGTACAGAACATGTATTCAATTGTATTTTGTCATATTTATTTCGTTTTAATCCAAATAATTCTTATATAAATACACTAAACCTCTGATTTTTAATTTATTAACTGTACGTGTGTTAAAACTTCTACTTTTGTGACACTAATATTAAATAAATACTATAAAAAGCGTAAATAAATCACAGTTGTAGTCAAACCATTCCAAACCCTTCGGTACCTTCACTTATTGCTAGTAGAAGAGATTTTTCGAAATGTTCGTAAGAGTCGTAATCAGGTAGACAGAGTTGATTGAAACTAAAACATGAAAACAAAGTGTAATTTAATGTATCATCAGTTTAAGTTATCTTGGTATCACTAACGTAGCATCAATGTACATTATAAGTAGTATAAAGCGGTATAAGCTACCGACATTTACGAATGATTACACAAACAGTATAAAGCGGCTCCAAAACATAATATAAAAATAGTGATAAGGGATTGCAATGCTAGACTAGGCAACGGAGGATTATTGAAGAGAAGTAGCGGTAGATGTTGTTTCCCTATTTACAGTTGTAGAAGACGATCTGAATTTAATTGAGGGACTGGTTTCCAAGGATATGGTGGAATTATACCGTATTTGCTTCACTACCACCTACTTTTCATCGGAAGACCAGATTTATGAACAAGTAGATGGAGCAGTAATGGGAAGCGCACTAAGCCCGGTCGTAGCCAACCTTTTCAAGGAGCATTTAGAGATGACGGTAATGGAGTCATCATACAAGCCAAGGGTATGGTTTATCGATACTTCGATGACACTTTTGTGATTCGGGGTCACGGAGTAGAAAAACCTAATGGTTTCTTGTCTTATATAGACACACTACATCCAAATATTCAATTTACGATGGAAACAGAGAAAGATCAACAACTAGCGTTCCTAGATGTATTAGTAAATCGAAAGGGAGGTTACTTAGGACATAAAGTGTATCGAAAACCTACACACATGGACAGATATCTAAACAGGAACTCAAATCTTCATCCAGGCCAAAAACAAGGTATCATCAAAACTCTGGCGAAGAGAATTTGTGAACCAGAGCATCTGCAAAGTGAACTTCTTCATATTGAAAAAGCGCTTACCTCTAATGGTTATACCAGAAGAGAAATACATAAAGCGACTAACAACGTTTCGAGAAGAACGAAGAAATAGCATTTATAGGCAAAGCGTTCTTGCCCTATATATCGGGGATAAGAGACATAATTGAGCGAATACTTAAAAAAGCCAATGTAAAGACCATCTTTAAGCCAACAAAGAAAATCAAGGACTGTTTAAGATCGGTGAAGGACAAACACGACCGTTAACAACGGCCGGAATATACCGAATACCATGCACATGTGGAATGGTATATGTGCTAACCACAAAAAAGACACACAAACAAAAAGATAAACGAACATAAAAGCCATTGTCTTTAGGACATATCGACAAATCTCTCGTTACCGAACACGCTTTGGGAAGCGGAGAACATCGGATACTGTTTGAAAGAAACGCAGATGCTGAATAAAACATCACATAATCAAATAATTTTAATCGGATAGAAGAAGGACCAAGAATTAACAAAACATGGATACCGATATTAAAATCCACAAGCTACAAACGACAACACGCCCCTCACGCTGAAACCAGAGGAGGGGGAGGCGAGTAGAAAATATGACCTCCGCTCTTTATTTATAAGTCCATGACCTCCGCAGTACAACGCGACTTCAGTTTCAGCTTACAGGCGAAGCAGTAACATCTCCAGAAGATGCCAACCCCTAGTGTTGGCGAAACGTCGAGAACTAATCTCAGAAGACAATGGCCTAATAACCCGAACAAACAGTTTAACAAGTTATACTCTGCATGTTTTTATAAGTTCCCATATTAATTAATCTGGCATTTTTATTAGTATTTAATAAAAACATTACCCTTATGGCTTTTTAATTTATTTTCAACAATAAAAAAATTTCGGCAATCGCGAATATGTTACAATTGTCACGCTATAGTGTAAAAAATATAGTCAGAAGATACAAAACTACAGGTGCGGTCGTCACAAAACCTAAAAATGTACGAAAAAAGTAAAATAAGGAAGCAGATCAAGGGCATTAAGCCGCATTATAGTGAAAAATCGACGAGCAAATTATATGGAGTTAAGCGTTTAATGGAGTGACGTTATTGGAAGACACGTTTCTAGATCAACATGTCACCGAAAGGCCCACAAATTAGAATTTGGTACTTTTATAGTTAAAAAAATTAGTACTAATTGTTTTTAACAAATTTTATTTTATTTTAGGCTAAGGAAAAGCCACTTTTAACATTACAATAAAATACAAATAGACTAAGATGGCCAAAAGAGCATAAAGATTTGATTCAGTCGCAATGGGATTCAATACAATGATGTGATGAGTCCAGATTTGAACTGTTTGTTGGAAACAGTAGGAGCCGCGTCATTCGCAGGAAAAATGAAGCTTTCGATCTCGACTGTCTGAAGAGGAAAACTCAAATTTCCTGCATCTGTCACGATCTGGGTCAGCATGTCATCTAAAGGTGTGGGAAAGTTACTTTTTATCGATTGTAAACGATATGTAAATATCCGGATTGTAAACACGGACAAATATTTGAATATTTTGTAATATTCAAATATAAATTTATACAATAAATAAATGAGACATGCAAGATAGTAACAGGATGTATGAAACCAACGCCACTGTCAAGTCTACATAAAGCGGCGAGTTTTACAGAACCTTCAACACGCAGAGGCGTTGCGGAGCATATAGAGAAAATTAAACAGATCGCGGGACGAGCGGCATGCCCCATAGAAAGCTCGAACACCATGAAAGCGACTAAAACCCAGGAAAAGCTTCCTTGAAACAGTACAGGATAAACCGCCTCTAGGGTATTTTCCTCTTCCCCAGGTTCAATGGACCGGCCTGTCCTTAGACTTTAAAACGTGGACAACTATGAATAGGATAAGCACGGGGGTAGCTCTTGTAAAATCAAATATGGCAAAATGGGCAAAAATAGACCATGATGATGTGAACTGTGACTGTGGAGAAACACAGTATATGGAACATATTCTTACATGCAGAAACTGTGCTCATCGATGTACCCTCGAGATCTGTGGCTCACCAACAAAGATGTAATAAAAGTAAAGTTAGTGTAAAAAATGAATTGATGATCCAATAAAATAAAAATACTTAAACTCGCGTGTACAACATTACTCTAACATCGAACTATATGTTACTTCGACGAAGATTAATTAATCGGCGTCTTTTATAATCAATGAACATAGAAGTTTTGTTTCTGTCTTATATTATGATGCCAGGATTAAAAATGGCTACAACTTAAACTAAAAAGCGTTTTTAAATGAGTTCATTTAATTTGTAGGAGCTGAATTTGTGACCAAAGAGGAATGCATATTATACTACACAAAAGATAATAAAATACATACCAAGTATGCGCCGTTGGAAGATTTCCAAAAGTAGGAGCAGCCGTGATCTGAAACCGAGGTGTAAGATCCCTGAATCCTCCCGGAGGCAACTGAGAACATCCAGTGGTAAATTGTAACAATCGTGCCATCTCTTCTTGTGTAAAATTGCCCACTGCTGCCCAAAACCAGCCAACTATCCTTCTGAATTCTGTTGAATTGCCATTAACGACGTGGTGGGCTTTGAAGTCTGCGATACTGTATTGACCCGTCCCGCAGAGAAGAAGCTGAAACGCCCATAGCAACAAATATTTTCAATCACGGGGATTATGTTAATTATATTATTTCTACTCAGTTGTGCGAAATATGTGAGGTATAGAAATATGCTGTGAGTTAATGCGGTTAATAAATTATGTATACAGTAACTACTACTGTAAATGGCGGTGCATTAACATCTAGAAGGCACTCCCATCGTTTTTGCATAAAAGTTAGTACTCTAACCCCTCTATGACATGTTTCGATATATTTGGATCTCAAAGATATGCTGAATGTAAATTTGAAGACAGACAGTTTTTTATCCATATGCCCCAAGGTTTAAATGTTTTTTTACAACAAATTCATTCCTGGCTGACTTTAGCCAGTGGTGTTACAAAGAGAAGGAAGAATATTGGGAACAAAAATATATTACTTTTCACACACTTCAATGTCACTGGTCTCAGTCAAAATCTACTTTACAAATAAATAAGTGGCTAACATAGATAATAATATGTGAACAACACATGAACAAACTTTTATACAAAAATGGTAGGATCTTTGTGCCTTTTAGAAACGTAAATAGAACTACAAAAGCGATAATACAATCGATATTTCGGAATCATAATCAAAATCACAAAAAATCAAACAGTACTTACTTCTAACTCATTCTCATCAAAAATACTGAGTAAGTTATCAGGGATCAACTCGTTCAAGCCTCGCAGAAATGCCTCCATTTCATCCTTTATGCTGGTAGCTAATCTATATTGTGCAAGGGCATCTAGATATTGCAGTTTTGTACTATTGGAAACTCTAATTTTTGAACCGTTCGGAACCAACTCTACTATCCTGAATAGCTGCCCGTTGGAATCGTACTGCTCTTCTACGAAATACAACTCTGTTTCTAGATCGTCCATGTTATTTTCTAGGAGATACTTAATTTTAGACAGGTACAGGTCTGGATCATCTTGCTCAAAGTACTAAAAATTAAAGTATATATTATTTTATTTATTTAAAGTTATTAATGCGTCATCTATGACATTTTTGTAAAGACGTCAATCTGTCAATTTTTCAGAACGGGAACCGCCAATATCAGAAGTCAGTTTTATTCAAAAGTAACACTTTGCTATTACACCAAGTATAATAACGCTCGGATATTCGACAGTTATTGCTGGATATCGCAGACCAAGTCACTAAGTTTCTTCACTGTTCAAGTGGGGGAAAAATAATGAGATGAAACTTTAACTGGACTGAACTGAGATGGCTTTATTAGACTGACTAGTGAATGTGTCGAAAGCATAGACGTATATATTAAAATAGACCATACATACCAGCCGCGCGTATAATGACGACAAGATCTCTTTCGGTTGTACGATCTGTCCCTCTCTATCTCATTGCAACTCTTGTCTCTCTCTCTCTCTCTCTCTCTCTCTCTCTCTCTCTCTCTCTCTCCCTTACCAAAAGAGACGCTGTTATACTTGATGTAACACAGAGACACAACGAACAACGAAAACAAGATGGTGTCGTCACTTAGTCGATGGTCGAAAGTAATGAACAGTAATAAACAATAATTCTAATCAGACCTTTTCCAGTTAATGAAATTGATACTTCCCTTAAACCACAAATACACCACGCCCATTTGACGACAAATGGGTTTGAATATTCTAACTTCTAATGTTTTTTATATCCAGTATGTTAAAGTAAATAAAGTTTTTGGTGTAATATAGAGTAAATCTTTGTCGATAACCCACTAAATAACTAAAAATATTGGAAGTGTAAAGTGGAACAGCTCACAATATCGAATTTTGGAACAAATTCCTTAAATTTAAGTAATTTTTGACATGCTTGAACTGACTTGATTCGAAGTCTTCTTAAACAAGGCTATTGTGCATTCACTAATTTTTGATTTTTTAAACTCTTTTCAACAGTTGTGAAATAGACATAGCCCCACACAGTTCGGTTTCAGACAAGGATTTGGTACAAGAGAAGCAGTTTATAGCTTAACTGTTCTACTTCAGAAATGCAGAGATCAGCAAAATATGTCTTCCTATGCTTTATAGATTACCAAATAGCGTTCGATTGTGTTAATCATTCAGAATTAGTAAGATTGCTCCAGGAACGTTCGGTAGATGAGAATGACCTTAAAATCATAAAGAACCTTTATATGAATCAAGTGGCATTTGTGAGGGTAGGACTGGAATTTACATCATATTTCTTAATCGAAAAAGGTGTACGACAGGGTTGTGTTCTGTCACAACTCCTTTTGCGATAGAGACTTAAGTAACATTGACGATGGAATCAAAAATCAACGGAATCAACTACTGGGCTTGAAGATTAATATAGACATACAGTATTTAGAAGACTACTTAAAATTCCCTGGACAGATCACACAATAAATGTCTAAGTATTAAATCGAATGGACAGATAACGAGAATTACTGCCAATAATAAAAAGAAGAAACACTGCTTATCTTAAACACTCTTTAGAGCCACACAAGATCGAGAGGAGTAATCCAGAACTGTAGCTAACATCCACTAATTGGACAGGGCACCATAAGAAGAAGAAACTCTTTTCTCACACACTAATACTGGGGTAAGTCCGGTATTGCACTGATAACCTCAATTATAATATAATAATATATAAGAATAATCACATTCCAACATAATCCCAATATAAAATAAATACATATGGTGATAAATATTTGAAAATTAAGAAAATATTAATGAAATTGTAACTAACATACACTGTTTTTACCTTATAATGGACTCGAAGGCCTATAACTTGTGCTAAGAAAGATCTAGTGAATCTAGCTCTAACTAGTTGCCTATACGATCCTCCCAATGCGCTTTCATACAAACATTTTCCAACTACTTTTCCAGCGAATTCGTAATGTTTCAACTTTAGATGAGGACCTCTAGCGGGGTTGGGATGAACTAATGATTGCTGCCCTTCGTGAAAACTTGAAAATAAGGTATTTTTAGGATCAAATAACTGCTCGCAGATCAGTTCGAACCATTCCCGTCTTAATCCTCCCCAATCAATTCCTAAAATGATATTGATTCCAAATTAAGCATACAAAAAGGAGGATAAATAACTATTAAGTGGTTGATTTAAGTATAATATTTCAAGTGGAGCTTACCTTGTTCTCCTTGAAAATTAACCTCAAAATTCTTGCACCAATCAGCAACCGAAAAGCTTTTGGTTGCCTTCATGCTCGACTCTAATAGTTTTTCTCTGCTGACCTTCATCGACAACTTTTCGTGGTAGTGTTTGTGATGGAACTTTCGAACTTCGTGGTAAAAAAAGTCTTGTTTATCTTTAAACGTTTCGGAACCGCCCATATTCTTCAAGAGAAATTGTGCGAAAGTAGCTGCTATAACGTTTCTATCTTTCGAAACTAGTTCTATCTTCGGTTGACAACCGTCGTCTACGGTAAACGATGAAGAGTAAAATTCGCTAAATTTCAATGTGTCTGCATGGAAATTGAACTGGAAAAGGATAAAAATTAATACAACTGAAATTAGAACGCTAATAGACTAAGTTATTCGAAAGTGCCGTAGCTCAATCCTGGTAGATTATGGGAGAGATCATAGAGATGAAAAACACAAGAAATATCAATCAAGACAAAAAAAAAGAACAGGGAACAATATATTAAAATATATTTAAAATATCAAAATACCATTTGCAACGGATTAACTGTGTTGAAAATAAAAATCATGCAATCAAATGGGAAAATTTAGTTAAATGTGTACAAAAAAGCTCTGACAAAGGCTTTCGATCGCATCCAAGTCGTAGACATCTTACACCTACTGTATAAAAGAAACATAGCAATCAATATTATACAAATCATCGAAAACATCTACTTGTATAATCTAATACAAGCAAGGATAAATGCAAAAAATAACACAGTGTATATCAGTACAAAGCGCAGTCAGACAGGGTGAGTCGTTAAGCCACTTCTCTTTAATATAATAATGGATGAAATAATACAAGCAGTACGTATTATCACGCAGGTCGTGATTACAGAATGGGGAACAAAGAAATCCATTATTCAATGTTAATGTAATCCAAATATTATGTTATGCAGACGACACGGCATTAATTGCCGAGACAGAAGACGAGCTCCAAAGATTAACACATACCTTCAATATAACAGCCAAGAAATACAATATGATAATATCAGCAGAAAAAAAACCAAATGTATGACAACATCTAAATACCCACTACAATGTAAAATCGAAATTGATGGGAAGATAATAAAGCAGGAAGCAAGGTTTAGATATCGGGAATAGATATAACTAATTACGAAGATGTTGAAGAAGAAGTAAGACAACAAAGCTTAAAAGCAAGTTAAGCGGCGGAGATCTCTTAATGACACAATCTGGAAGAACAAACACCTAAGACAAGACACAAAAACAAGAATCTATAAAAGCAGCAATTAGACATACATTAACATACACGGCGGAGACAACACCTGACACATCTAAAATGGGACGACTACTAGAAACACAAACAAGATAAAAATACTCCGACGAATATCAGGGAAAAGTCTGTTGGATAGAGAGAGAGAGAAGCAAAAATATAAGAAAAGCATGCAATATAGAAGACATAAATGGATGGATGACGACAAACAGAAATAAAACAGAAACAGGAGTGGAACGAACACATTAGTAGAATGGTAGAGGATAGGATAGCACGAATAGCTGAGATAAGTCACCAAATGGACCAAGAAGTATTGGCAGACCAAGAAAAAGATGGTGCGATAATTTAAACAATTTAGGAGGCTAATACTGAAGAAGAAACAGACTTTAAAGCCTACATACAAGAAGGAAGAAGAAGATGTACAGAAAATACAAAATGTATTGTTTAGTTACTCCATTTCGATTTAAACATGTATAAAATAGAGAGTGCACAAAACTATTAATTAACATATGTATAATAATTTGTATAAAGAAATATGCATTGATTATAACAAAAGATTTAAATATTACATTCTATCACGTAACTAAAAATTCAGTCTTTTATATTGTTAAATAAACTGACTCAACGTGACAGCAACATCACTTAACTTAGAATATAAGAATGTACTCATAATAATTTAAATATTCTGTTAATCAGATTAAGACTGGTTTGTGGGCTTTGACACCAGCCAACGCGTGAATAAAAGGCGGATTCCAAACCAGGAAGTTGGAAGCCTCGGTCTGTACTGAGATAAAACGAAGGCTCCATATTAGAATGAATTAGGATGAACGTAGTCTCTGTCTTGGGATAAAAAGGGGGTACACGTCCTGGGGTGAACTAGGATGACTTACATTGAACTTGGAAGATCGTTTCTAACTAGGGCAAACTTGGAAGCGAAGGGCTTACATACTAGGATGAGAGGGGACTACCATCCAAACTAGGATCTTAATTAGATGAGAAAATTCCAAAATAAAATATACGAAAAAAGTAATAGGTAACAAAAATAATTTGCCCTAAAAGGGGTCTAGAACATACGTAGACTCGCCGTTCACATCTTGATGCAAAACGAAAAATAAAAAGTGATAACTTTTTAAAAGGTTAACAAAGGTAACTGAACATATTTGACGATTGTTTTATTCACACGGCATAAAATGATTTCTTAAGAAATATTTAGAACTGAGTGTTTTTACAAAACTTAAGTAAAATAAATGGAAATTAGACAAAAGGTATAACTTTCGTTACATATATAGCATATGGGTAGGACGTAGACTAAACGGTAAATGCACTACAGAAAGCGGAACATTCTTTTACTCAGGCAATGATGACCGCGATCATAGAAAAGGTGTCGGGATTATGATAACTAAAAGATTGGTGAGAGGTGCCACAAAGTTTGTACCATATTCCGACCGCACAGCCTTAGTAAAACTTGAAGCGAAGCCAAATAATCTCAACATCATACAGGTTTATGCACCAACTACAGACGCATCAGATGAAGTAGTGGAAAACTTTTATAGTGAAATCAAAGAACTACTTAAATTGACAAAGAAACATGATGTCAACAAAATTATGGGAGATTTTAATTCCAAAATAGGGAAGGGCAGCTTTGAAGACATAGTTGGACCCTATGGTCTTGGAACAAGGAACGAAAGGGGCGACCGACTTACACAATTTTGTCAAGAAGAAAACATGAGAGTTACCAACACATGGTTCCAACTCCACCCCCGTCGCCTTTATACTTGGAAATCTCCAGCCGATAGAGCTCATAACATAATAAGAAACCAGATAGACTTCATTCTTATAAACGGTAGATTCAGCACAACTGTCAAAAGAGCTTGCACATACCCTGGAGCAGATGTCCCTTCTGACCACGTACTATTAGTGGCCGTCATAAAGATCGCTCTTTCATGCAAGAACAAGCCTGAAACTCAACAACAGATAGCACTGGATAAACTGAAAGACCCAGTGATACAAGCAGAAATAAGCAATGAAATAAACGCACAAATTCAAATATTGACGACAAACATTATCGAAGATCTAACACCAACATGGAATACGATTACAAGTGCTGTAACAGACATCATGAAAAACAACTTAGGGTACAAACGAAATAACCAGAGGCAAAAATGGATGACAGAAGAAATACTATTACTAATGGAAGAACGACGAAGACACAAGAATGACCAAGATGGCAGCAATATGTATGAAAACATTAACAGGCAAATAAAAGCAAAAATAAGAATAGCAAAAAATGAATGGCTTAAGCAACAATGTAGATGTGAGGATCACAGACTCATTAGCCTAATGAGTCACACTTTAAAGTTATTCTTAAAAATACTACATCAAAGATTTTACAAAAAATGTGAATGGGACATCAGTGATTCCAGTTCGAGTTTAGGCAAGGTTTAGGAAACACGAGAAGCAATTAGTAGCAACACAGGTGATGGTCCAAAATTGGACCAGCACCTGTGTTGCTACGTATTGGACGATCAGAGGAAGGATGTGGTCCTATGCTTTGTAGATTACCAAAAAGCGTTTGATCGTGTCCAACACCACAAGTTAATGCAGATTCTCAAGAAAGTTGATATAGACCAAAAAGACATAAGATGCATTGAAAACTTGTACTGGCATCAAACGGCACAGCTAAAAATAGACAATTCTATATCCAAGCCCATACATATAAGAAGAGGCATTCGACAGGGATGTGTGCTATCCCTCTTTTATTTAACATTTATTCGGAAGCCATATTTCAAGAGTCTTTGGAGGATGCAGAGATGGGAATCAAGGTGAATGGAGTATTGATCAACAACATACGATATGCTGATGATGGTGTCTTAATTTGTGACAACATAGTCGATCTTCAACAACTTGTCACTATTATCGGAGAATACAGTAAGCGAATGGGATTAGAGATTAATACCAAAAAGACCAAATTCATGATCATCTCCAGAAACTTGGATGCACTTGAAAACTCCACTATAACACTGAATAGTAAATCCATAGAAAGAGTGCGTAAATTTAAATACCTGGGATCGTGGCTTTTTGAAGACTGGGCATCGGGCAGGAAAGTAAAATGTCGCATTGAGCAAGCTCGACAAGCTTTCGTAAAATTCAAGAAGGTACTGACTTGTTCAGAGTTCGATCTTCAACTGAGACTAAGGTTTACTAAGTGCTACGTATGGTCAGTGCTGCTATATGGCGTAGAGGGCTGGACACTCAAAACGAGGGATATAAACAGATTAGAAGCTTTCGAAATGTGGCTTTATCGCCGTATCCTAAAAATACCATGGACAGCGAAAATCACAAATATAGATGTCCTTAAAAGAATAAACCAAGAACGCCAACTTTTCGAAACATCAAGAAAAGGAAAACAGCGTATCTAGGTCACATCATGCGAAATGAAAAATACCAGTTCCTCCAACTTATAATCGAGGGTAAAATTGAAGGCAAGAGAGGAATGGGACGCAAGAAAATGTCCTGGCTCAGAAACATAAGGCAATGGACAGGGATTAACGACATACAATCTCTGATACATATTGCAAGAAATAGAGAATTAATGGAAAAGGTGATCGCTAACATCCATTAGTGGATTTGCATCTGAAGAAGAAGAAGTAGACTAACCACAGTGAATTAGTGGTACTTCTATTGATTCTAGAAGAAAACCTTACAACAAAACGACTTTGAGTAAAAATCAATCTTGCAAATTATTGTTCTACGTAGCAGCTAATACAGTAATACTATGGTTATAATGATCAGAATGAATATGTAATAACACGACGAAATCCGATAAAATTAATTTCTTAAATTACATAGTACCTTACCTTAGTCGATGGACATAATCTAAAAGTGAACAGTCTCTTTGGTATAAACTTCAAAATAAGTTCTTTAATAATAAGTTGCTTGGGCGATACATAACACAAGATCTTCTTTGGTTTGGGTATCCTTTCCCCGTTAATTCCGACTAGTTTTGCGTCATAACAAATATTATGGTTTTTCGAAGCAACGTTTCTATGGACTAGAGTAGAATCTATACCTAGGAGGGAAGAAACAAAGGCACGTTTAATAAAAGCATCATGTATCATAAAAGCAAAAGTATTCAAAATTTTTCAGTATGTACCAAATCTTACCGCTTCCAGAGCGGAGCAGAAGGTCTTCACAACGGTCTGGAGAGCGGAGGTGGCAGCCCAATGGTTTTACGGATTGTATAAAACTAGCTCTGGAACGTGGCAGCTGGCTGATCCAACACTAACCACAGGCAGACTGAAATGGCTGTGAATTAGACAGCATGTGGCGTGGTGATATTCACAGAAGCGGCACATGTACAGTGGTGTAGAAGGCAACGGGAAACCACTACACTAATATTACCCAGCAAAATTACATAATGCTCATGGAACCTAAAACAACGGCCCTCAGTCCGGACACCTATTAAATGAGGAGAGGGTGCTAAGAATCCCCGGAGGAAAACAAAAAGAATAGGCACATGGAATGTGAGAAGTCTATATGAAGCGGGAAAGGCAGCAAATTTAATTCAAGAAATGGAAAGACTTGATATCGATATACTGGGATGCAGTGAGGTAAGATGGCCAAATACAGGTACTGTGTGCAACTATATAGAATACGGGCAACTATGCCGTAATAGAATACGGGCAACTATGCGTATTCTATTCTGGAGACGAAGGTACTCAAAATAAAAACGGTGTGTAGCAATAATTACATCTAATGAAATTGCAAAATTAGTTTCTGGATTACTACCAACATCAAATAGAATAATGCTAATAAAAATAGAGAGCAAACCAGTCATTATGAATATTATCCAGGTACACTTCATCTAATTTATATAACGATGCACGTCATCGGCGTCATAGCCTGTGGCGTCACATGATACCAACACAAAATATTTAGGGTGTAGGTGTGTTCTTTTTTAGAACCACTTTACCGATTACACTGACATTATAGCCACTAGACATATTTTATTATATACGCGTAGAAATCATATCTAAAAATTTCTATTAATGTTAACTTGAAGAAATACACAATAATATGTTTCATTTAATTTGTATAAATGCATTATAAATCGTTTTTATCAAGAACGTTTGTTCGGAACACACTGTAACTGTAATCGAACGAAGGTAAAATTTTGGCATAAATTGGTAACACTTATTTGGCAGTTGCGGTGTTGACACTTTTTGTACTTCATTATTTTGAATTTTAAAGTGAATATCTCTTGCTTTATATTTTTAACTATCTAATAAAATCTGTTCCTTTTAGAACAAAATTAGTGTGTTTTATTTCAAAAATGTCACGTAAGAATTTAAATAGTCGTTGTAAAGAGATGGTAATACTTTTGCAATAATTATGTAATCTATTTGATTTAAAATTTAATTTGGTTTAAAATGGAGTCAGGATTTTTTTATATTTTGGCAACTATGTCAACTTCGATCTCTGACGTAGATAATGACATAAGTCGTTATCTAAATTAGATGAAGTATATATGCCCCAACTAGTCAAAGCACAGAAGAAGAAATGGAACAATTCTACGAAGACCTAAACAAAACTTACTGCAGACAAAGAAGCATGAAACCAACATAATATTAGGAGATTTTAACGCCAAGATTGGAAAAGGAAGAGAAGATGACACGGTGGGGGAGTTTGGCCTCGGAATAAGAAATGAGAGGGAGATAGACTGCTTCAGTTCTGTAAAGAAAATCAGTACAGTATAATGAACAGCTTTTTCAAGTTACCACCCAGACGTCTCTACACGTGGAAATCTCCAGCAGATGGAATAGAAGGACGCATCACAAGAAATGAAATCGATTACATAATGGTCAACAAAAGATACAAAAACGCAGTAAAAGCATGCAAGACATACCCCGGAGCTGACATCCCCACCGACCACAATCTTCTTCTTGCAACAATTAGGATAGAATTTAAAAGAACAAAAAGAAATAAGCAAATAATAGCTATTAACCTAGATAAGCTTAAAGAAGAATCCACTAGTAATAAAATACGGGAAGAAATACATAGACACTTGAGTAACAGAACAGTACAATCGACACAAACTCCCGAGGAAGAATGGCACTATATTGAGAAAACACTTACAAGAGTAACAGAAGACTACCTCAAACAAGATACACGAAAAAAGAACAAACCATGGATGACAGAAGAAATTCTAAACATGATGGACGAAAGAAGAAAATACAGAGGTAAAAATGAAACAACATACAAGCAAATACACAAGAATATCAGAATAAAGATCCAACAAGCCAAAGAAACCTGGCTAAGTGAAAGATGCCAAGAAATTGAAGAGTTGGAACAAAGACATGATACTTTCAATCTACATAAAAAAGTAAAAGAAGCCGCTGGAATATTTAAACAAACTCCTACGTCTTTCATCGAAGATAAACATGGGAACCGCTACTGAACATAGAAGATCAAATAGGTAGATGGAGAGAATACGTGGAAGAGATGTTTCAAGACCGAGAGAGGACGAACATTTACATGCAGGAGGCATCGACTGGACCTTATATCACAAAGCAAGAAATTATCAAAGCGGCAAATCAGTTAAAGAACGGAAAAGCTGTTGGGGAAGATAATATCCCAATTGAAATAATAAAGATATTACTAGACGAACACATCGAAGTAATGGAAGATATATTTAACAAAATATACGAAACAGGCATAATACCAAATGATTGGCTGACATCGGTGTTTATACCACTACCAAAGAAGAGAAACTCCAAGAAATGTGAAGACCATAGGATTATTAGCCTGATGAATCATATGTTGAAGCTTTTCCTACGAGTAATACACAATAGAGTATACAATAAACTAGACGAACACACTGGTCAAACTCAGTTTGGTTTTAAGAATGGGTTCGGAACAAGAGAAGCACTTTTTTCAATACGTGTGCTAGTTGAAAGATGTAGAGATGTCGATTCTGATGTATACTTGTGTTTTATAGACTTTCAGAAGGCGTTTGACCTGGTGAAACATGATAAACTAATAGATATTTTAAGGTCATGTAATATCGACGATAAAGACTTAAGGATCATTTCAAACCTCTACCAAGAACAAAAGGCTAAAATCAGAATAAAAAGCGAAACATCTGGAAAAATCAATATCGAGAAGGGAGTAAGACAGGGATGTGTCCTATCACCTTTGCTGTTCAATGTTTACTCTGAGAAGATATTTCAGAAAGCTTTGGAAGGCACCTCGGATGGTATAATTATAAACGGGCAATGTATAAATTACCTGCGATATGCTGATAACACTGTCATACTGGCAGATAATGCTGAAGCCCTGCAACACTTAATGGACCGAGTAACGACAGCCTGTAGAGAATTTGGAATGAAATTGAATACAAAGAAGACAAAAACGATGGTCATCAGCAAGCACCAAAACAGAAGGATGAAGGTCAATGTCGACGGAACAGATCTGGAAAGAGTAACAAGAACAACGTACCTTGGAAGTAACCTTGATGAAACGTACAATGTTTTACAAAATGCAAAAAGTTCTAGAGAACTAGAATACTTAAGTGCTATGTTTTCTCCACCTTGCTCTATGGTGTTGAAGCCTGGACAATGACAGAAGCAACACAAAAAAGAATCCAAGCATTCGAACTCTGCTGTTACCGTAAAATGCTCAGAATATCCTACATGAGCCATACGACAAATACGGAAGTCTTGCGGAGGATGAATAAGGAAAGAGAGCTTATGCTTATAATAAAAGAACGGAAAACACAATATTTTGATCACATCATAAGAAATCAAAAGTATGAACTGCTCCAACTTATAATCGAAGGCAAAGTCAATAGCAAAAGGGGACCAGGAAGAAGACGCAACATTGGCTTAAAAACCTACGGCAATGGACGAACATGACCTCCATAGAACTATTCAGGGCTGCTACAAATAAGATTAAATGGGCAAATGTAATGGCCAACGTCCTTAGTATTGCGAAGAAGCGCCCGAAGTATTGCGAGAAATGGGCAAATAATGCGAAATAATAAAAACAATAAAAATAAAAAGTTATCTGGTTTAAATGCAGTTCTATAGAACTCTTCAGAGCAGCAATAGATAAAGTAAAGATAATGATATCCAATCTCCGATTGGGAGACGGCACTTAAAGAAGATACTAGAGATCACAGATCTATACTATTAGAGCTTTACTACGTTGCCAGAAACTGAACAGAACGGCGACTAATCTTAGGGCAGGCCAGGATCCACAGAGGATTGTCGAGCCAAAGATGATAATGATGAGATGATCATAAATAATACAATCTATTTATCTATTTATCTACCTTAGCAATTTTTGTTTTAGACGCTCAATTTAAACAAAATTAGCAGCTACTACACTATCCCGTTAATAACGATTATATTTTAGTTTCGAGGTTAACTTTTAGATATTAATTTTAATAATAAGTTTACTCCGTAATTAGTTTTCATTTACGTAAACATTAAATTTTATAAATACTCACTATTTAACACAATAATATCAAAGTCTCCATTATGCAATTCAGAGCCATGGTAGTAGATGGTGGCGTGATAGCAACCCTCCCTTATAAATTTTAGTTGTACGCTAACTCGTTGACTTTCCCAATCGTAATCTAAGCTAGTCGTAAAATTTTCTTTATCTATTTCTAATTCGTTTTCCTGTGATTGAGTTCCTAATTGCATTATATCAATTGTATAACCCTAAAACATAAACAAAATCAATATTAAATGCAGTGGCTGCAGGTGAGGGTAGGGTACGATAGGTAGAAAAATGTTGTACACATTGTTCTGTTGGAACTTCGTTAAAATAAAATATATTTAACTAAACTAACTAAATTTTACAATAATTACATTTGTTTTAAGCGTCCGTACTATATTCAGGACTGATTTTCTAGCCAGTTAAAAACATGGATTTATTATGGAAAAGACACGCACTCACTATGATATTTTCGAACACATCGTTCTACAGACACAAAGTTGCGGCGTATATAAGGGCGCTCAGAAAGCAGCCCGAGATCAAACTTACCATTCGATTGGTTAAGTATTGACAATGAAGGTGTGTGTATTAATGAAACTAAACTTCAGGTAGGTAAAGAAATAATAAATAAGACTTCACACTCACAATCAATTTAATTTAACTATCAGACGACCGGTTTCGCTTTCTACAATATACAAAGCATCTTCAGGTCTCGATACAAAGGTAAATAAATGCTGAAATGATAAAAAACCCATATTAGGGTGTTGTCTAATAAAGATAAACAAATTAGATGTTGTAAATTACAATAATTATGCCAATATTACTTGTCTGTGGTTTTATTTCAAAATGAGTAAGTTGAATAAAACGGTATAAAAAGTTTTAAAAGTTTAAACAGACAAGGTAAGGCTCACAAATTGTTATAAAATAGTCTATTAGATTGTATTTGTATTTGTACTTGCTCATTTATTAATTTATTACAATCTAATTTATAACAATACTATTTTATAACAATTTGTGGGCCTTACCTTGTCTGTTTAAACTTTTAAATCTTTTTATACCTTTTTATTCAACTTACTCATTTTGAAATAAAACCACAGACATGTAATATTGGCATAATTATTGTAATTTACAACATCTAATTTGTTTATCTTTATTAGACAACACCCTAATATGGGTTTTTATCATTTTAGCATTTATTTAACTTTGTATCGAGACCTGAAGATGCTTTGTATATTGTAGAAAGCGAAACGGTTGTAGAAAGCGAAACCGGTCGTCTGATAGTTAAATTAAATTGATTGTGAGTAGATTTTAAACTTCAGGTTTTTGAGTTTGGCGGACAAGATAAACATTAAAAAAAATGAACGACCTATGCCGGTATTAAATACAAGACGAGTTCAACCTAGTTATAAAAGTCGAGCGGGGTTTACGCAGAAGTTTGACTTAAATATCTACAAGACGCTATGGCGCGGATGTGAATAAAAAAATGAGTTGTTTTATTTTGTTTGTTATTTGGTGGAGAAGACAACTGAGCAAAAGAAGATGTACGTTATTTGAAACATCTGGGCGAAAAGGTCAAAAACACGGAAAATCAACCAAACATATGAAGAATATTATACGATTCCAGCTATTAGGCACAATGGGATGTAGCTTCTGTAATTTAATATTATCGCTGGTGGAAAGTAATGTAATAACATTTTGATACTTCAGTGATCATTCGTGGTTTATTTATAGTCCATAGAGGATTAGGGTTTTCGGTAGGACGGTATATTGTTGGGAATGTTATGCTATATTTATGAAGCAATCGGTTAATTCGTTCATAGAACGGCAGATCGCATCTAGGGCGAGCTAAGAAGTAGTGGCTGAAACGATTGTTATGAACGATATCGTAAACTAGGTGGGAGGAAAGAACTTTATAAGCATACGACAAACTTAAAATATCTCTTCTGAATTCTAGGGGATTTTCCTTAACTCACTACATGTAATTAGTATAGAACTTGTTCGAAAGATACCCAAATCGACTCGAAGTTCCGTATTTTGAAATACATCTAGTTCTTTAAGAATAAATTAAGAGTAATGTATCAGTGAGCCGTAGTTGTCCTGAAATTGTATTGTATAGTCGATCGTCCTCTACGCGGCAACAATCTGGAGGGAGGCAGTAGAGATAACGGCCTATAGGAGGCTCATGACACAAGTGGACAAAACAAGTCTGTTTCGAGTGGCATGCGCCTACAGGACTGTGTCTGCGGCAGCCTTATGGACTATCACTGGATGTGTTCCGTTGCACGTTTTGGCGGTGGAAAGAAAAGAACTCTATGAGAGAAGAGGCCCAAACCTTACTATGAGCGAGATAAGACAGGAAAGGGAAAGGTCCATTGAAAGATGACAAAAAGAATGGAACAACATGAAGGATGTGGAACAGTGGACGAAAATGCTGATTTCGAACATACGAGATTGGGTGGACTATTGCCTGGGATAACTGGATTATTTCCTGACGCAAGTGCTCACAGGACACGGGTATTTTAGGGCCTACCTCTCTAGGTTCGGAAAGGCTGGTACATGAGTTCGGAATGCCTATACTGTGGAGACTCGGACCTGTGACTCATACGATGTTAGATTGCAACAGATGGATATTGGAAAGGAACAGAATGGAAAGAGAGACAGGTGTGAATTTTGTTACAGTGAGAGAAATGGATTGAAAATAAATCAAGTTGGACTAGTATACACAACTATATCCGTGTAGTGATCAAGAAAAAAGAAGAGGAAGAAAGACAGCTGGGCCAACAGTAAGGGTAAGAGTGAAAGATGCTGGAAGTTGAAGCTAGAAAAGTGGGTCAGACTGTATGAGTTAGAATGCGTGAGTCAGATCGTGGGGAAGGAGGAAATGCCCGTACTAGGAGCGATGGCGGTCTTCTACGCGCTACCTGGAACGAGAAAGGAAGCCTCCTTGCTGATAAATGGAGTGTGGATGTGGATGGAAAATGACTGAATGAAGGTAACGCTTCCGAAGTGATGCCGTCCTTACAGCTGCCATTTCGCTTCCGGATCGCTGGATGACAGAGGAGGGTCGGTTTAGCAGGTAGGCGTTCGGCGTAGACTCGGCGATGAGAGGGAATTTTAAAGTATCTCGGGAACTATCACCGGGAGTACGAAGAACGAATCCTGCACTAAGATCAGTCGGGCAGCGTCTTGGACTGATATGTCCTTTGAAGATTCCATACCTCCCTCTATAAAGACGAAAAAAAAGTTGCCCTAAAATTGGAATTGAAAAATATTTTACTCGTGACAATGTCGAAAGAAAGCCTGAGGGCGCTTGTCATTTTGTCAATCGAAAAACTTTTAGTTGGAGAAATTTCTGACTTAAAAAAAATGTGCTGAAAAAATTCATCTCTGATAAAAAACAAGTATTGGGTTTCAGTTTAGATTTCCGGTATATACCATTTATTTTTTTGTATTCTCGAATCAGAGTCTGAGTAAATGCCAAATATTATATCCACTACCTAATTATTATAAATTATAAGAAGTAGGAAAAGAGAAAAGTAAATCGACAAAATAGATTTTAATAGATCAATTCAAACACTCTAATGGCTTAAACGCCTAAATATAAGCTAAAGAAAGGAAAATACAGTTGGAGAATTTATTGTGGCTTGAAACAAAGTTAAGGTATCTACTTTAGTCTTCCCAGAAAAATCAGAATATAACATAAACACTGCGACACGTTGTAATTTTCATTCTCTCATTCGGTGTCCTCTCATTAATATTGGTAAGACTGCACTGGTTTATTACACCACTTAAGCTACACAATTTACACTAGATAGTTCACTGTTAAAACTTCGTCCAGCTCTTTTTTAGTTTCCCCCAAGGAGTTCTTAAATTGATCTTCTCCAAGTTGACGTTATTCTAAAAGTTTTAAATGCATCGTCTCATGCATCATCTATGAGGTTTAGAATGGTCCTACGTGCTAATAAAATATGTCGGTCTACTTATTAACAGAAGAATTAATTAATTAATTAATTAAGAATTAACAATTCTTTACTCTTTTTCGTTATGTGTTAAGAAGTCTGAAGAAGAAAAAGTCCATAATCTACCTTAAAGTTGATAGTCGTCTTGATACATCGTTTTTAGATGTGCTAATGGTTTTTGAACCTTTTCAAGATGAGAGAACATTTAACCCAACACCGTTTTTGCCTGACAGATTAACTTTTTCAGAAGAAAAGTAATATTAAAACTAACCTTTCTATGTACAGCAGGTTCCTTAAAAAACTTGATACGACTCTTAAAGCATATTTTGTAAAAAATTGAGCAGAGTATTTTGAAGGATAAATACTTATTATTTACATACTTTCACTGCCAAATGTTCAACCTCAAAAAATGGCTCCACATCCTAGCAAAGAAGCAAGAATTTTAAAGAAATTAGAAGATAGTTGATGAATATCTGCCGTAGCGAACCATTTTAACGTAAGCAGGTAACGTAATTTGTGGATTATATCATGACTCCTTCAATAAATGGTTGGAACATGTTGATATGTCTGCAGTTATCCGTTTGTTAAAACTTTTTCCTGCCGGATCTAGCTATATTTTTGAGCACTTACTAAATTCTATCTTGTATACTCTTTAATAAATATATATTCTATATTATTTCTGCCACCTTGGTACTCTTCTACGATATGGTTAGTATACTTTGAGTATAGCATAGCATAGTACTTTGGACACGTCCGCTGGCATTTCTTCTTGTTCCTAAATTTCGTTTATCTATGTTAGAATATTTTCCAGATTATAGCATCTTTATATATATTCCGCTCTCACCAGGTTTCTTGTTTTTACAACTTATTTTAACAATTTAACTATTCTGCTCTCCTCTTTAATACCATTTACTTCTAATTTGTGTTTATTTTCGGACACCGCTTTTATTATACCTCCATATAATAGCTATTGGAAATAGAATTTCAACTCTTTTATAAGTTTATCTGGTTAGCAGATCAATATGCAATCAATAACTGAGAATTGTTTTATCTAATCTTGTACTCTTTTATGACATACATTTGGGATAACAATAAAATCAGCTAAAGCTTAACTGTACATGAATTCTTCTTAGGCTGCCTGTCCGTTCCAAACGTTGGCAATCATTCTGGTTATGATGACTTTATTGGTAGCTATACGGAATAGCTGTGTTGAGGTCTTTCTATACCATGCTCTCAGGTTAGCAAGCCAGGATATTCTTCTTCGTCCTGGGCCCTTTATCCTTAAATTTTACCTTGCAAAATGCATTGGAATAGCTCATATCTGCTTACGGCCTTTCACTATGTTGACCAAATCCACGGTTGTGTTCATCCTCCGTAGTACTTCTTCATTGGTGCTTTGTCTGTTCATGGTATCTTCAGGATCCTTTTGTATAACCACATTTCAAAAGCCTGAAGTTTTAATAGAGTTTCCGCCTTCAGTGTCCACGTTTCTACTCCGTACAGAAGCACTTAGTACACGTAACATATAAGGCGCCTGATTTTTGTTTCTAAGGTGATGTCATGGCTTTTTAACACAGAGCTTATAGTTAAGAATGCACTTTTTGCCTTTCTGATGCGACATTCAATCTCTTGGGTATTGTCCACGACACATTGATTATAATTCCCAATTAATATACAAATCACAAACCTCTATTTATTTAATAAAAAAATATTCTTACCTCTGTAGGATTATCACCTGACGCATACCGACATATATTGCTATATTCATCTCTGGGTTCGATGTACAGTAGATGGGCGACATTAGCAGTACAAACTACGGTGCTACAATGCCTCACAACCATGGTCCTTTGTGCAAACGCTGGCCCAGCGACGAAAATCGTTGTAAAGGGACTACCGGCGACGTGCTGGGTACCTACCATTACCGAAATACGGTACTGGCCAGCGTGACGGACGGTAAATTTCACTTTTGCCACGTTGGCGCTGTTAGGGTCTGTTGGAGATCCTAATTCTGTAATAACGGCTAGCTAAAAACCAAAAAAATATATAAGGAAGTGAGGAGGATTCTGAGATTGTATTAGTGCCAGTGGTTCTAAGTACCCTTTCAGACGTAGAGACTGGTGTGTAACACCGGTGTCCGCCACCGGTGGTTCGTCGCCGCGCAAACGAAACACCGGTGGCCGACGCTGTCGCTATATTGCTCAAATTTATAGTCCTAAAGAACTGGTTTGTCTTTAACAGCAGCTATAAAATCTTCCGTCTTAAAATCCACATTAACTTTCATACTTGACATTTAATAAATTATTAAAACAAAACTAAAAACAAGACACCAGAAGTGGTTCGTTTGAATGCTCGATTCAAAACAATACTCTGGTAAAAACACAACGGTATACAGTGGCAGGTCTGGTGGCGAAGGCGAGACACACATCGGAGACTACTGATACTGAGCCACTAAAAGTAGCCAGACACTAAAAGTTGCTCATCTTTATATGTAATCGTTCATTTAAAACAATGCTTTTTCAATTGAACACCGGTTGCGGACACCAGTATCCGGTATCCAACACCAGTCGCTTCGTCTGAACAGGCACTTGTCTCCTTTTGGAACAACTGCTGCGTACAGGTTTTCTGACCGTCATTTGTAAGGTTGCGTAATTATATTATGTATCCACATAAGTTTGTTTACAAAATGGAAGAAATTATAGAGGTGTGTCTGTCTAATATAATTTCTAATATTTCAGATATACGTTTGTATAGAAAAAAATTAAATATGTTCGTTTTTTTTAATGAGTTGCCACATAGAGTTTTCTCGGTAATTTTGGGGTTATATTAAAATTTTATATATACAATCTAATACTGTCTTGTCTTTGTGTATTGTATTGTTATGTCCAAATTTACATGTATGACATTCTGCTCATGTCGGATAGGCTACAACTGACGAAATGCCCCTGAGGATGATCTATTGATCGAAAATACTTGGGCAAGATTTAATTAATTACTGTGTTCGATATTTGCCTTGTATACCATCAAAGTTTAATTATTCGAACATTCAACCTTATATTGATTAATTGTAATAGTTGTGGTTTATTCACACAAAAAAACGAATATTCAGTCATTGAAATGGCAAACAGAAAAATAAACATTACGAATTTGATTTTTTTCCATAATCAATTTCGCCCGGCGAAACGTTCAAATTTTTTTAGACAGTTTTTTTAAAACAAATTGTAACAATAAAGTTTTTCGGCCGGTTAATTATTTTTAGTTTTTTTTTTGGATCATTATGAACAATAAGTTTCTGTTGTAAGGTTTCTCCAAAGTTGATCGTTTTCAAGTTATAACTATAACTATAACTTATAACAAGTAAGTAACTAGATACATGGAAAAGTACGCAAATAATAATTAAGCGTTACTTTGAGTTATTAAGCAAATAAAGACACAAAAAAGAGTCAAATAAAAACTAGGCGTACGTAAGTAAGGAAGGACGCTAATGAGTTAATTAGTAAAATAAGTGGAAATTTATGAAAATTTATTCAACATTACCTTTCGTGCACCTCCACGAATATCAACAGTAAAATTATCAGTATCACAGATTGGATAAGGCTGTCCGTTACGTTGGTAGAATTGCACAGTAAAACAAACTGTTTGGCCCACTGGGTGATGACACGACCATTGAAAATTTACCTAAAACATAAAGCATAAACTATTAAAGTGATCATTTTTTCATACATTTTTGTAAATCTTATATGTATACTGTAGGTGAAGATCTAAGAAAGATCTAAAAAAATATTATCTGTTATCAGTTAAAAAAGACAAGATGATTTCAGCATATTTGACACCTCTCTCGTCCGCACACCACTTTGGAGGTACCAAGACGTTGTTCTCGCTCTCTCTCCCTATCTCTCTCTCTCTCTCTTCTCTCTCTCTCTCTCTCTCTCTCTCTCTCTCTCTCACCCGTTCTACACAGACACAAGAGCAAAGTAGTTTAGCATTGTAAAGTGTATACGTAAAAGGAATATTGTGGAAGTAGAATAAACCGCCAATAAAAGTGTTGTGTATAATTTCACACCCCCATAAGAGGCAAATAAACGAACCAGCTACCACAAAAATCTTGTAACACAAATTCGACAGGACACCACGAGGGTTTGGTGATATACGGGAAATTGGTGGAAATAAGCCACTCATTCCCCTATAATCATATTGTCCATTCCGCCAAAATAGCCATAACCGTAATGGACAAAACATGTTCTTACAAATAAATACTAACCATGGGAAAAGTAATTAAACGGATTTATATGTGGAAATAGACGCTCGAGATATTTTTGCTAAATTTGTAATTTGTAATGTAGCATTTCTATTTTCTGTATGTATTAAAACACCGAAGAATATTTTCAATGTATTTCTATTTCCTATCGTACTTGTTAAAACATCAAAACATTTTTTCAATCCTTTTGCATCGTTGGAATTGATAATATAAACATTTCTGGTCTGTATATATTAAATCAGGTGCATATTTTGGTATTTCTTTGATCGTTTCCGCTTAATATTGCGCGTCAAATAAACATCCACTTAGATTGCCGAGAAAGTTATGCGGGGACGCGAACGATTTTTAAGAATGATGTCACTTTGCAATAGGCCACGATACGATTCAGGTCATTGTGAGTCCGGATTTTCTTTTCTAAATTCGTAATCATTTTTCGTTGTTTGTTTTTGTTATGAAAAATGTGTAGTATAGTAGCAGAGTGAATTTTAAAGTGAAAGTTGAAGTTGGATTTGAAATTTTGACGGGAAAAGAGCTTGGCGTATAATCTTCAAAAAGCCGGCAGTTTTTGTTTGTGGAAAGGTGAATTCAATCAAATGCAAATGTGGCAGTTTTGTTGAATTAATCACCGATTTGTTTTATGTGTTGTATTGTGTTCTGAATGGAAGATTTGTAAGCAGTGTTACAACGATATAAGGGGTCCACACGTTTTCAAGGAGTATTTGAGAGGCCAAGCTTTGAAATTGCAGTTTATTAATCCGAAGCCCGATAATTTTGTGTCCAACTTCAGCTTCTTTAACTTTACCTTAACAGAGAGTTGTCTATTTATTTTCGCTAGTAATTTCAGACCGAATTGCAGCTTGTGGGACGCATTTGTGTCATTTTGCAGTATTTTACATCCAGTTCCAACCCCAAAAACTTTTAAAAGAAATACATCAGCCAGCGATATTCAGGAAAGAGAAGCCTCTCTTTCAATCCAGCAGGAAGATTCTTGTAAACGGCGTCTAAATTTAAATAGTTTAGGAACCGTCTTGGGTTGTGTTGTCCAGAAAATCCATGTACGTACTTTTTAAATTACTCCTTTGTAGTTATCCCCTTTCCAGTCCCCCTTTTTATTCACTTACATACGACCCAGCTCTCCAACCAAGCCAAGAGTGGCCGTTCGCAAACGTTCCGGTTTGTTGCTTACCCTATCTTCAGCCCTGTAATTTCTGTCCCCAGTTTTCAACCCCATATAAGTGATACCCAATGTGGTAAACAATATAAACTGCTACAGTAAATGTAAACGATCACTCTCTAAAGTATTTTCTTTGAAATATTGGATATATATTTACATTCTGCAAGAAGAATCTGTTAATCAATTTGAGAGTGAATATAAAGAAGATATAATGGAATTATAAGATAGTTATTCTTCAATAAAATCAAAAATTAAAGTCCAAAAATGAATTCTTAAAATAAGAAACTGAGAAATTGAAGCACTAGATAGAAAAGTCTGAGGAGTAAATGCCAACCAAGCCTTGGGCCTTTGTTTGGACAAGTTAGTTTGTTAAGTGTACAAGTCTAGTGGTACAAATAAATTTGTTAAATTTTAAAAATTTACTGTACCTTACAATTCGACGGTAACAAATATTTTCCAGTAACATATTGAAGTAAGGAATGCTTTGCTTCTGGTGCTAAGGAAGGTTGAGTCATAGCGGCCAATGTGACCAAGCCGGCGACTGATACAGATACCACCAACATTCCTCCTGAAACAAATACATTACGATAAAATAGTCAAGCAAGTCGTTTACCTAAACAATCTAAAACTACATTTGTTCTTGTGCTGATATGTAAAAATGTATGAACTTATGCAAACTAAATGCTAACTTATGAATGTATTAGTTTAGGATGTAATCTGTCTTCTACGAGACCTGATGAGGTATAGGTACATTGTTTTTATTATAATAAAAATAATAATAAAATAATATTTTGGATTGTGTATTTGTCTCAAAATTTGTCACCATAGGCCGTACCAGCGGTACGGTATATGCAAATCAACTCTTTCATCGTTTTATCCTTAAGCAAATTCTGTCCCTAAGCAAATTGTATTAAAGGTTAAAATGATTGTTAATAAAATTAAATTAAATGTACCTATATCTTTAAAAAACCCACACATTTTCCTCTTGGTATTTGAGTTATGAACAAAATTTTATGGACAAAAACCAATTATTTTTGTTGAGTTTAATTTGTCAGTATTTTTAGACTCTAATTTTATGATACTCCAGTCAGTCATATTAAATTATAAAAAGAAAAATAAAAAACCGATATTTTTAGGTTGATATAATACTTTGAAAAATGGATATTTTTGGTCCAACTGAAGTAAATACTCGTATTATACAATGCCTTGCAAAAAAATCAGTGTTTACTTCAGGAAAAAGCTTTACATTTACTTATTTTCCAAAAATCGGTACAGATATAGAAAGATAATAAAATATTCTTCTTCCTTTTAGACATAAATCTTGATCTGATACCTTTTGCAATATTTGGTCAAAACTGCATCAGGAATCTGTGAGATATTATGGATTGTGAAAAAGAGCAAAAAAAGCATTTTTTCAAGAAGTTTCGAGGGGTGATGAGTATGATAATGAAGAGGAATCAGCAGAAGAAGATCATGTAGAAGAAAACTTAGAGGGAAGCAATACGGAACAGGAAATGAGGAATTAGATAATGAGACAGATTTTGCCATTGATCCATATTTTTTGGGCAAAGACAAAACAAAATTGGCTAAGCATATTACCCCTAAGAACGTCAGAACTCGAAGTGAAAATATTGTTCTGCAGCTTCCGGGTTCAAAACAATGTGTCAGCTAGAAAACCTATATTTTATATATCTGGAACAATCTATTTGATACTGATATGTTGCAAATAATTGTTGATGGGGACCAATACAAAAATATAAGCAGAAAAGCAGAAGTTCAGTAGCGATCGAGATATATTATACCCAACAAACATTGATGAAATTCGTGCTCTTCTAGGTCTCTTATATCTTGCAGGTGTAAGCAAGGCAAGTTTCCTTAATACAACAGAATTATAGAAAACGGATGGCATTGTTATAGAGGTTTTCCGACTGACAATGAACATCACGAGATTCAGAAATTTACTAAGGTACATACGAAATGATGATATCAATACAAGGCATAATAGATTTAGTTTGGATAAATGAGCGCCAATAAGAAATCTTATTACCAAGTGGTACGAAAATCAGAAAAAATGTTTCTTTCATTTGCAATACGTAACCGTGGACAAAAAGTTGGAGGCTTTTAGAGGACGGTGCTCGTTACGCCAGTACATACCAAGCAAACCTAATAGATACGGTATAAAAATATTTGCACTGTCTGATGCAAAGTTATTTTTTAACAGTAACATGAAAGTATACGTTGGCAAAAAACCAAGAAAGTAGTCATACTATCTAGACACTAGTACCTAGGCAGTGGCGGATCGGGCCTGTTAACATCTCTATGGATCTCTATGGAAGATAAACCGACAATTGGATCACTGCGTTGATCTTGGTATAAGCTTGAGGTAAAATAGTTTTACCTCTCTTGGAAACAATAAAAGTTAACAGAAAAAAACTTCTTGCATATTTTTCTAACAATTAAGGACGAACTATTGACTCTAGTACATTTGGGTTTGGTTCAAGAGAAACACTAGTGTCATAAACTAACACCGGAACTGGAAAACCGGAAATCATATTAGCATATAACAGCACAAAAAGCGGTGTTGATACCGTGAATAAATTGTATGGCATGTTATAGTAGAAGATGGCCTGTGGTTGTTTTGCACAGCCTTTTAAATGTTACAGCAATAAATTCCTTTGTTATTTACAATTGTAACATTCCAAATTCCACAAAAACCCGACGAGAAGTTTTGGACAAATTTAGCATTTTAGCCTTATGTAGAACCATCATAAGAATCGAAGCCAAAATGTCTATATAACCAAGACAATAAGGATTCGATTAAAGGAGATCGGTCATTTGGATGAAGATGTTCTGCGAGTTCAAAGAACTCCGAGAGCAATTGGGAGGTGTGATGACTGTGGATGGAAAAAGAAACGAAAAACGAAATATTTTTGTTTGATTTGTAAAAAGTATCTTTGTTGGAAACATGTAAATCCAATTTGCAATGACTGTAACAATCATCATCAGGGTTTTTTCATTCCGGATGGAATGTTTGCCGCTCTTATTTAGAGCTCTCTGATTTGCTTATTGCGGTGAATCACTCCGCACTCCAGTTGTATGTTGTTGACCAAAGATTGTTGTATGACTTGGCTTTCGTTACAGAAATTTGGATAACCTGGTCCTCCCATCTCTCTCTGGGTCTTCCCATTGGTCTTTCAGTTGCTGGTTTCTATCTGGTGATCTTCTTAATCAGTAAGTCTTTTTTCCTTCTCTCCATGTGTCCCATCCATCTCAGCCTGTGCTTTAATAAATCCAACTCTTCTCCCTTCATTATGTCTCTTAGTTCATAGTTCATTCTTCTTCTCATTTCTCCGTTGTCCTGATTTCAACTCTGTATATTTTCAGTTTTGTATTTCTGGATAAGTTCTTGTCCTTCATAAGCCTATGATATCTCCAGTATGTTATATTGCCTGCTAGTATTCGATCCGTTACTTCTTCACTTCTCTTGTTTTGGCCATTCACTATTACTACCAAATATTTAAATTGTTGGACTCTTTCAGAAGTGTAGATTCCTATTTTGATTTATCTTGTCCTGTTATCTTTTCTTCTAGAGCAGAGTAGATATTTTCTTTTTCTTCGTTAATTTCTAGACCTCTTTTCCGAGCTTCTTTTGCCAGGATTGTTACTGTTTCTTTTAATCTTTCCTTGTGTCTTCCCATAAGAACTGAATCATTTGCATATACAACTATTTGTGTTGAGGAGTGGGCTATAGTTCCTTTAATTTTGCTGGCCTTGACTGTTCCTTCTACTGTTATGTTAAATAATGTGGTTGACAGGGAATCGCCTTGTCGCATTCCTGTTTCTATTGCAATTGATTTTGTGCTACCTTCTTCTGTTTTTACTTTAGCTCGAACTCCATCCATGGTCATTTTTGTTAATCTGATAAATTTTGCTGGTATATCTTGATTTTTCGTTTCACTAAATAATTTATTTCTTCCAATACAGTCAAAGGCTTGTCTGAAGTCTACCAAGAGGATTTGGAATTCTATGTTTGTGTTCGTGGCATTTTTCGACTGTTTGTGTAATTATGTGGATCGCATATGTAGTGGATCTGCCTTCTCTGAATCTATGCTGGTAGTCAATAATTTTTTTCTGTGTGAATTAAGTGACTTTTTGTTTGATGCGGGCTGTTAGAATTTTATATGTTGTGCTCAGTAGAGATATTGCTCTATAGTTGTTACAGTTTGTTACTTCTCCTTTCTTAAATATTTATATAATTCTGCCTTCTTTCCAATCCTAGAGCATTTCTTCTGCTTCCCATATTCTATTAGGTTATAGATGCTTGTTAATAACTTTTCCCCCCGTTTTAATTAGCTCATTGGGAATTTCATCTGAACCAGGTGTTTTTTTCTGTTTCATTTTTTGAATGATGTTTAAATATTCAACATATGTTGGTATCCCTATTTCATTATCTCTAAAGTCTTCCATCTACTTCCTCTTCCGGGCTTTCTTTGCATCTATATAGTTCTGTGAAGTGTGTTTCCCATGATCTATTGTCAATTTTAACTACTGGTCTGCCTTTTCTTTGTTAAGCTTTTAGGTATCCAAATAGTTTGGCGCTGTCTTTTCTACTCTTTTCTAGGTCCTTTAACAGCTCTTCCATTCACAGTTTTTTTTTGGTCTTGCAGCAGTTATCCGCTGCTCTATTTTTTCTTTATATTCGTGTCGATGATGTTCTTCTTTAGTTGATATCCATTTATCTCTTACTTGGTTTTTCTGTTCGATTTTTATTTCGCATTCTGCATCAAACCACTCTGTCCTTCTTTTTATTTCCCTCTGTCCTAGCACCTCTTCAGCTGAATTCAGAATTGATTCTTTTATATTTTTCCATATGTCCACTGTGTCATTTGCTTCTGGTAGATTTTCCTTTAGGGTTGTCTTATATTGTTCTCTTAGTTCCTGTACTTTTAACTTCTCCAGCTTCTTTTGTTTTGTTCTCTCTGCTTTAATTATCTTCATTTTGATTTCTCCTAATACTAGAAAATGGTCCTGTATCCGCGTTTGCTCCTCTATATGATCTGACATCGTGCATTATTGCTTTCCATTTTTTGGATATTAGTAACTGTAGACTGTAACAATATTGTGGCTTAATTTTATTATAATACGTCTTAGTGAAATATTGTTTAAGATAGTTCTTGAAGACTGGTATGTGATGTTCTAATTTTAAATTTTATTGTAATTTGTTTAGAAAAAAGAGAATAAATCAAACTATTATAAAAATTGCGGACTATTTTTGTGCTACGTAAATAAAAATTTTAAATAAACAAAATATGTCAAAATGCATCTAGAGAACTATTTTTATGACTGGTGTATTAGACCGTGTGCGAGTACTGATACACAAAATTAAACTGGGTCTACTGAAAGGATAATAAATAAAGAGAAAGATGATGATCAGCATTATTCACATAAAGAATACGAAAATATCACAGAACGGACAGTATCACTTAAATACACCATAAAAATCATCTTATTGTAAAAAACTTACATACATGCGAAGTTTCCATGTCCAGAACTTAAATGCTTAGTACT